TAAAACACACCCTAACAAATTTAAAATGATAAAAATCATTTTAAAAATATGTTCTCAGACCACAATGGCATTAAAGTAGAAATAACAGAAAGATAGCTAGAAAGTCCCTAAATACTTGGAGATTAAAAAACATACATCTAGGGGCCGGCCCCGTGGTGTAGCGGTTAAGTGGGTGTGCTCCACTGCTGGCGGCCCGGGTTCAGATCCCAGGAGCTCACCGATGTACCACTTGTCAAGCCACGCTGTGGCGGCATCCCATATAAAGTGGAGGAAGATGGGCACAGATGTTAGCCCAGGGCCAGTCTTCCTCAGCAAAAAAAACGAGGATTGGCATGGATGTTAGCTCAGGGCTGATCTTCCTCACACACACACAAAAAAATACATCTAGGATCAAAGAAGTCTCAACAGAAATTTTAAAAATATGTTGACCTAAATGAAAATGAAAACAGCTTATCAAAATTTATGGGATGCAGCAAAAGCAGTGCTTAGAGGGAAATATACAGCATTAAGTGTATATACTAGAAAAGAAGAAAGATCTAAATCAGTGCTCTAAGCTACCACCTGAGGAAACTGGAGGAAACAAAGACATTTAAGCCTAATGCAAGCAGAAGAAAAGAAATCATAAAACTTAGAATAGAAATCAGTAAAATGAAAAATATTAGAGAAAATCAATAAAACTAAAAGATTTTTTAAAAAAAATCAATAAAATTGATAAACTTCTAGCCAAGCTAACAATAAAAAAAAAGAGAGAGAGAGAGAAAACAGAAATTACTAGTATCAGAAATGAAAAAGGGGTCATCACTGTTAATCTCCTGGACATTAAAAGGATAATAAAGAAATAATACTATGGACAACACTATGCCTACAAATTTGATAAAAGATAAAATGGACAAATTCCTTAAAAGATATAAACTACCAAAACTCACACAAGAAGAGATAGATCATCTGAATAGGCATGTATCTATTAAAGGAATTGAATCAATAATTAATAGTGCTCCAAAAAGGAAAGCACCAGGCCCAGATGGTATCACTAGTGAATTCTACCAAACCTTTTCAACTGCGATCTCTTCCAGAAAATAGAAGCAGAGGCAAGGCCCCTTAACTCATTCTATAAGGTCCAGAATTACCCCACCCTCACCTCTCAGTGCCTTCCTTTCCCTGCTTGGAGGCCAAGGGCTGGCCAGACTTTGAGCTTCACTCACGCATCTTGCCAACTCTTGGAGCAGGTAAAGGAGCCGTGGCGGGGATGCACTCTCAGCCGCCAGGAGCAACAGTGCTGGGCGCTGAGGACCCGCCAGGCTGTGCCGCCACTGGTAGCTATGCCGCTGCCTTCTTGGGGCCCCGCCGTCGCTAGAAATAGCCCCCCCTCAGAGTTCAGAGCTCCAGGTTGGAGGAGTTTCTATACACTATTACACTGCCTTAATTTTTACCAACAAAAATGTATTGATGTATTTGTCTCGCACAAAAAGACAATTTTCCTCTTTCTCTAACAAGATGTGTAACACATCCCAGAATAGAAAAAGCAATGCTCACCCCCCACCTGTTTGCATTTGAGTCTGTTGGGCCCCACCCTCTTTCACTTCCTCCTATCAAGTGTTCAGAGGCCCTGAGTCAAACTCTTGCGCTCAGGGCCATATAGATGGCTTCTGAGCAGAACTGGCCCCCCAACCACCCATAAACTCAAAAAAGTTTGACAACAGTCAGGCATTCGATTTGGATGTTGATTTTTCTAAAAAGACCTTTTTCTGGACAGAGTTGTCTTTTGGGGTGGGGATAGAGGAGGTCTGGGGTTCAGAGGGTATGAGGAATCACCCAACTGTGCAGTGAGGCCTCAAAGAGACCGGGAAGTTCCAACAGCACAGGCCAGTTGCATGAAAATAAGAAGGTGAGGTGAGTCAGGATGACTTTAAGTTCCTCAAAGGGCTAATCCACTGCAATTTTAAAAATCTGATTTCCTCCTTATTCATTTATGTGCAATCTCTTCTATTTGGGAAAGAGGCTGGGTAGACAGAAATAACAAAGGAAGACGCCGACCTTACGAGAAAGGAAGGACAAGGAGAGGAGGCCAGGACTAACCTGCAGTTGAAGTTGCCGCCTCCACCTGCTGTCTTCTACTGCTGGCCCCGCTGGGTCCTGGAGCTGGCCTAGGATCACGCCTGGTTAGACTTGCACTGCCTCTGTGCCTTCCTAGAGCTCTGATGGGAAGGTCTGCCCATGGGTCGCTCCGTCAGGTGCAGCACTCAAAGGGTAAAAGAAAAGTGAAATTGCCAAACAGTGTGACATGCTGCACCAGCACGCTGGTGTTCCTTCTCCCCAATCTCCAAGGCCAACTCAGCCCCAAGGAGGAGGAGCAGGGCCAGCCACAGGCATCCACGGAAGACAGGGGGCCTCTTGTTCATGCAAACAAGAGAGGGCAGGAAAGTCCGCTTCACTCAAACAGATCAAAGTTGTTTTGAGGAAGGTTTGAGGTAGTTTCTGTGGGGAGGAATTATATTGCTGTGAGGTCGTTGTGAGAAGGGAAAGGGAAAGCCAGACGTTTCAGATCTTCTTTCAGGCCAGTGGGCTGGCCAGGCACAGCAGTGAGCCTGGACTAAAAGAGTTAGGTCCTGCGTTCAGACACAGGGCTGGAGAGAGCTGAAATGCTCAGCATTATGAGTGGAGAAGATGTTTTTCAACTTTTTGGACAGCAGCCAGGGCTAACAAAAAACTCGTGCAGGGACTGGCCCCACGGCTGAGTGGTTAAAGATCCATGTGCTCTGCTTTGGCAGCCGGGTTCACAGGTTCGGATCCTGGGCATGGACCTACTCCACTCATCAGCCATGCTGTGGCAGCATCCCACTACAAAATAGAGGAAGATTGGCACAGATGTTAGCTCAGGGACAATCTTCCTCAAGTGACAAAAAAAAAGAGAGGAAGATTGGCAAAAGATGTTACCTCAGGGCGAGTCTTCCTCACTAACAGAAAAAAAAGAAATAAAAACTTAATAAATATTTGTAAAATGACAAAGAAAAGAAAAGAAAAAGCTCTCACAGCTCCTGCATCCCCAGGAAAGTGCCAGGCTTGGGCAAAGAAGCCTGATGTGCAATTCCAAGTTTTCTTGAATACGTGGGCACTTTATGAAAGCAACCCAGAGTGATTAGGAAAAAACTGAGTTTCAACTAGTCGCTGAAATCTCGAGGAGAGCAACAGGCTTCTTACTGGCTGGGGAAAGGTCTGAAACTGAGATTACCTAGACCTTACAGGACAGTGTGATGCTAGCTAACAAGTGCGTCACATTTATGTTTGTACATAATTTTTTCATTTATATCTGGCCTTCATTCTGTAAAGGATTTGAAGCAACTTAGAAAAACGTACCACATCAGCATTAAGTTGAAAGATAAAGAAATGGGGGCAAAGTGCAAATAAAATAAATTATCAAAACCAGAGGACTGGAAATCCGGGCAGGAGAATGGGTCAAAGACAGAGGCAAAAGGGAGGCAAAGTATCTGTAGGATCCAGGGCCTCAGTCAGGGCAGTGAGCCAAAGCAGGTGAGGACTGGGAAGCCAGGAGCAAAGCAGTATGTTTCCAAAGTATGTTGCACTGAATTTGCTTCTTCTGGCTCATTAGAGATGTGCTAGAAAATTTGCACAAATATGTTTGCAAAATATAGAAGGCAAGAGATTTCTACCCCTCACCCACTTCTGCTCTTTCTTTCCCCCAAAGAAGTGAACACCAGTCTGGCTGGGGCTGATTCCAGATTCCAGGACACTGATGAGGACATCGTTACCAGTGGGCAGGGTCTGTGTGCCCACCAAGTGTTGCACACACGTGGGACTGGCTGCCTCTCTTTCTCTCTCCCTCACTTCATAAGCTGAGCCTTTGTTGGGCACGGCTGCCCTCTGCTCTTGGCCTCCATGGGGGAACAGTGGCCCAGACAAGGCTTGGCACAGACTATACCAGCCCCCTCTCTCCTCCCTCTGTCCTTTGGCAGCAGGCCGACCCAGGCCGCCGCTGAGCTGGCACTGACATAAATGTGTCAGATTCTTTTGCTTATAAGCGAAAGTGTTTGCTTTCCTTCAGCTGACTAGTGGTAGCACTGGGACTTAAGGGGTATTCCTGACAAGTTTGCAATATCGTGCATTAACCCCAATAACAACCGGCTGGAATTTTAGCTTCTATTTCCCACTGTCTTTTTTTTCTCTATGTTCACTAGAGATCAGTCTCTCTGGGATAAGGGACGTCTGCATCAGGACCATCTATGACTACCAAATGGTGCCTGATTCCCAGTGCAGGGGCAGAGCAGTCTTCTTTTTGTTTTATACGACCTTTGGGGTAAAGAGATTCTGGCCTGCTTCCTTACTCTGTTCTCCACCCAGATTTAGGCCAAGTAGGTGATAATATCTGAAGGCCAGTTGATGCTTTCTTTCTACCTGAAAGATTTCTTTCTATTTTGCTAAGTGTGCTAAGATCTGACACTTGGAATCAGGAGTGAATTACAGAGTCTTGATCACAGTCCAGTGCTATAAGTTAATTTGCTATCTTGCCCCTGCTTGCCAAAGTCTGCCTAACTCCCATCTTGGAACAATTAATGGGATGTTCACTACTTTTATGTCCAATTAGGTCAGATAACCAATCCCAGATTGATCACATTTCCGCGAAGATCCATTGTCTACAATTTGCTCTGATACCAATTTTTTAATCAGTTGGGGTTTGAGGGTACAAGTAACCAAAACTGACTCTGGCTAACCCAGACAGAAAATCAGTTTCTTGGAAGTATATTGGGTAGCTCACAGAATTCACGGGAACGCTGGAGGAGCAGGATAAGAAAACAGGCAATCTGGACAGTAAGATCCCCAACCCAGGTCGTTCCAGGGGCCTCTGGTACACGGTGTGAGGCCACTGATTTGGCAAATGTGTTCTTTCCATTCTGATTAGAAAGGAGGATCAGAAACAGTTTTCATTCTCACATGACAGATAAAAATATTCATTTATAGTTTTGTCTCGGCTTATATTAACTCACCTGCCGTTTGTCATAATATAGTCCAAGAGATCTGGATCACTCGGAAATCCCAAAGAACATCACACTGATGGGTTATGTTGGTGACATCATGGTGATCAGACAGAGGAGGAAGACGTGGCCAGCACACCTGCCAAAGAGGAATAAATTACTGACCTGCAGCAAGAGGGATGGATCTCAAAAGCAATAATGAGCAAAAGAAGCCGTATATCAAAAAGCACATACAGCATGTTTCCATTTACATAAAACTTTAACACAGGCAAAACAACTCTGTAGAAACAGAAAGCAGATCAGCGGTTGCTTGATGCTGGGGTTGGGAGGAGACTATCTGCAAAGGGCACAAGGTAACTTTCTGGGGTGATGGAAATGGTCTATATCTTAATCGTGGTTGTGATTGCATTTGTTGAAACTCATCAAAATGTACACTTAAGATGAATGCATTTTATACCTCAATAAAATTGAACTAAAAAAGAATTATCCATAATTTTAGTCTCTCTGTATGTCACCTGTGTATGAAATAAAAGCTGAGGTTTTCCCATTATTACTGTATTCTCAAGCATGTGTCATTTAGAAGCGTCTTTTATCCTTATTCACGTCTTTTTCTAGTTTAACGATTTTTCTCCAATCGGACATTATATTCCCTCTTCTGCTTTCTTTTCCGGTTTTTTGCGGGGGTTTGCATTTTCCTAGGATATCTCTGGGCAGGTCTAAAGGAGGAGATTCTTGCATCCAGCTCCTAGGATCGATGATGGGGTTTTCCAGGTTAAGTGGAGGGACTCTGGTCAGTGAAGTGTGACAGTTGCATAAAATAGTCTTAATCCCTCCTAGCACTGACATCCCCTGCATTTTAAGTGCTCTGTGTTACCAAGGCTGAGGCAACACTGCACCCTCTCCTCAGCTGTTAGCACCACATTTCTTCCTGTACCTCCTTTCATTACCATCGTCTTCCTGTGGCTTCCACACCTTTGCCATCCCCGCCGTGGTGACCTGCTGGGGGGGACCTGTTGGTGTGGTGTATGCCTGGGAGGGATATGCTGTGCTCGTGCCTCCAGAGGAAGCATGGAAGGCTTCTTAGACCCTAGAACCTTGTTTCTCATCTTTTTACTGAGTGGTTTATGGGTATCCTGGGTGGGGGAGCCCATGCGTCAAATACACTTGAGAATATTTATTTAAATAAAGTTAAACAGATTTCTATATTTTAGGATTTCTCACAGACCCTACATGCCAATGTACATTAGGAATCTTAAAAAGGGTGTATAAAAGGGGGCATTCCTCATCTCCCCTGGAGTGGCTGTTCTAGAATCTTCTCCTGGCTCTGCCTTAGACCCAGCTTCCACACACTCCCAGCTCCCAGCTGCCTGTGTGGCTCCCAGCCACTTTCTGCCTGAAGGTCTGCTGACCTCTGCATGATTTCACTTTATATTCAGGTTCCTTTTTATTTCAATTTTCTTAGATAACAATTTTATCCTGACAAATTATAGGTATTTCTGAGTTGCCCCAACTCCCCTTTGGTTTCTTGTTTGTTTTTTAAAATTTGATGATTTCTGGTAAATTTATTCAGTTGTGTAACCATCACCATCACCACGACCCAGTTTGGGAATCTATTCAGCACCCCAAAAAATACAGAATGAGAAAAGGGATGCAGAAATAGAGGCGGGTAGGGAAGTAGGCAAATGGTGGATTCCCAGTTCCCGTGGACCTGGGGCTGGACCCCTAGCCTCCTCCCCTCTGTACCCCGCTCCCCAGCTGGGTCCCGATTGGCAGCACACACACCCCAACCCCCAAATGCCCTGGGAACCTTACAAGTGTCCAAAGTTGGAGAGAGACTGCAGCCCTGCCTTCAGCTTCCTGCACGATCTGCTCCAAATACTTTCACTTTTCTTTTCTCAGAAGCCTGGCCCCTACTGCATGTGGCAAAGTATAGACTTCCTGTTTCATCCACCAGCGTCTCCCTGCCCTTCTCCCGCTCTTCCAGGAGCGATCCTGGACCCAGCCCTGAACCTGGAAAGGGGCAGGAGCAGGTGGCTGACAACATCAAGGTGGGTTTTTGTCTCGGCTGCTTTCTTCATTTTTAGTGATTGGGCTTTCACAGTTAACTTCCGGGCAGCAGCTGCAGGGCAGAATTCAACTATTTAAACTGTGAGACTCTCTCTTTGTAAAATAGTGTTTTCCAAAGAGGTAGAGAGGGTATGTGGGATGTAATAGGATCTTGTTAAAAAGAAGGACGGACTTGGGGGGAAGCAGACACACAGTTCAACTCTTTTTTCCCTAAATTCTAGCCTGTTGTTGCAGAAGGAATGAGATCGCTTCTAGCCCCCTCACCTGTGTTCTGTGATCCCACACTCGCTCACTCACTATCCATTGTGCGAGTGACCAGAGGTAGTTGGGAAGCTGGTGGAAAAGAGAAAATAAGGAGAGAACATATCATTTCCTCTCTAGTGTATCATGAACTTTATATATATATATATTTTTTTTTTTTTAAGCACATTCATGACTATTTCCTTGAAATAAATTCCTAGAAGTGGACTTTGGGACTCAAGGGAACATATATTTTAGGGCATTTGACACTGGTTACTAAATTAGCCTCCAGAACGTTTGGACATGTTTAGATTTCCGCCAAGAGCCTCTGCAATTATTGCTATTATTTTGTATCTTGGCCAACTTGATAGGCAAATATGTTATCAAACTGTCCTCATTTGCACTGTTCTGAGTACTAGTGAGTTCCCTTGGTTTTTTGATATATTTGTTGTGCCTTTGACTTAACTGCCTGTTTATATCTTTTGCTTTTTTTATGCCTGGATGTTTGCCTTTTGCTTATTCATTTTTAAGGCTGCTTTACACAATAAAAACCTGAACACTTGCATATGGCATGCAGTGTCACGCACTAGTGAGAAATGGGGCCTTAGTCAGCCGAGCTCTGCTTTGCCACTGAATACCTTGGGCTAGTTACTTAACCTCTCTGTGCCTTATTTTCATCTTTGGGAATCATAACAGATGAAGAATGAGAAACCTGGTGAACATTCTGTTCTGAATGCTGTTGTATAATTAATCTTTCTGAATGGGACCCCAGAGCCCCTCTTTCTTCTTAGCATGTGTCCATTCTGGCTTTCTCTGGCTCTGTGCTGATCTTTGCAATATCCTTCCCCTGTCCTTATCATGGATGTTCGATTTCTCTTCCATCTGTTCTCTATCTTCCAGGATTTCTTCACAACTATAGACCCCCTATGGCATCTTTTCTTGTTTTCTAATACTGTTGTGGATTATTCTTTTTTTACAATGTATATTTTTTCTGTCAAACTTAAAGGATTTGGGAATGACAACAGAGACTGGGTGTTCAATCTGCCACTGGGGTTAAATCGCAGGAAATATTCATTAATTACAGTTCAATTTTCTCTTGGACACAAAATGAAATTGGAAAAGCACGATCCATGTTTGTGTTTTTTTTTAAAAAAATCACTAGGTGATTGAATTTTTTGTTAGTATTTCCCTTTTCTGGACAATTTGTCAAGAATGTTATCTGTAAATTTTCTGCCTATCATAACATTGATATTTTCTCATGGCCTATCAATGGTCAATTTTTATAAATGTTGCACGGGCACAGGAAAAGGCATGTGTGTTCTGAGATATAAAATTGATACATAAATCAATTAAGTCACCTTTACTAATCATGTCTTTCATATTCTTCCTGTCTTTAGTTATGTTTGGCCTATTTGTGTGTCAAAGATTTTAGGTGGTTTATTAAAGTTTCTAAATATCATCAGGCTTCCATCTGTCTACCCATTTTTAGACGGTCCCTTTTTCATAAGCGTTGCTAGTGTCTGCCTTAACCTGTAGTCCAGCCAATCTTGTTTAACTCAGTTCAGCATAGCCACAGACCATAGCACTTATGACTGTAAGCCTGGAACCAGAAAGTCAGAATTTGTTCCTCTCTACCACTTTCAAGTTGTGCAACTTAGGGTGAGTTATTAAACCTCTCTCTGTCTCAGTGTCCTTGACAATATAAATAAGAACAATCATAGTAACCATCTTGCAAAGGTTTTGTGAAGATCAAACAAGTTACTACATGTGAAACCTTTAGAACAAAGTCGGGCACACAGGAAGCACTCAATAAATAGCTCTTTTTAATATCTGCCTTATGTTTACCAGCAGCCCCTCTGGGATTTCAGCATCATAGTGTCAGTAACTTTCAGCCTCCATTGTTGCTGGGCATTGTCATTGCTTCCTATACCCATGAGTCTTTGAGGCAGATGTTGCTTTGCAGACTGCTAAGGCACGCCTTTGGGACCAGAATGCTTGTCTGTGGATGAGTAGCTCCCCAAGCTCCTCAGAGTCTTTGCTTCTTTTTTCTTCTCATGCCTCTTCCATAGGATGTTCACCATGACCAGAGACTTAGAAGACGCTCTTCTCCAGCACTTCATATGTCAGAAGCTGGAGATTTCCTATGCCATATACAAGCCATTTCCCTTCTTCGAAGCCCTCCGAGACAGCTCCTTCATCACCGAGAGAATGTACAGGGTGAGTCATGTTGATCGTTTTCCCATAGCAGCCCAGCTCTCATCAAGAATGACCAGTTATTGAAGTCTCAACTCACAAACCCCAGGACTTTTAGAGTTTGGAAGTCCCAGCCCCAAATGTTCATTATCAGGGAAAGAGGATGTCATAGGAGGACCTCAAACCAGGTGGTTTAAAACAAAGAAATGTATTCCCTCACAGTTCTGGAGGCCAAAAGTCCAAAATCAAGACATTGGCAGGGTTGATTACTTCTTGAGACTCTGAGGGAGAATCCATTCCCTGACTTTCTCACACCTCTTTGTCGTGCTGGCAATCCTTGGTATCCTTGGCTTATAGGAACATCACTTCAATCGCTGTTTCCATCTCTACATTGCCTTCTCCTTTTTCTGTTTTCTCCCTTTCTTTTCTAAGGACACTAGTCTTTGTGATTTAGGGCCCACCCTAATCCAGGATGATCTCATCTCAAGATCTTTGACCTAGTTACATCTGCAAAGACCCCTTTTCCAAATAAGTTCACGTTCACAGGTTTCAAGTGAATATATCTTTGCGGGGGTTGAGGGGCACCACTCAACCCACTGAGGGTACCATCTCAATTCCTAAGAGCTTGTCGCCGACAGTCCATTCCGATGTGAAGCAAGGGAGGCACTGGGAGATATGGCTACATGGACAAAAATAGTACTCTTTTCCTATAACTTTGGATTTTTTAAGCATTTCCTGAGTCCCCCGCCCAGGGAAGGGCCAGCAGTGGTAGAACCATCTTCCCCGAGTCTTGGTCTGGTTGTCTGTAACCCATCTTCAGATCACAGCCCAGATCATCCTCAGAGAGGCCTCCTTGACCCACTTATGTAACTAAGACCCCCTCATATTCTTTCGCATAGTAATCTATGCTTTCCTTTCATAACACTTCTCTCAGTGGTAGTTGAGTATTTATTATTTAATGCCCACCTTCTCCACCTGACAGTGCCCCTCCCCAATATGGGTAGCACCATGTTGATCTTATCTATTGCTGTGTATGCAAGGAGTAGCTCAATGAGCCTTGTAGTTGCTCAGTAAGTATTTTGCAATCAATTCTCTCCTACCATGTTTCTCCTTTTGGCCAACTTCTCATCAAGAGGAGGTCTTGGGATGATTTTCTTGTGGCTGGAACCCATTCAGGCCATCTCAAGTCCAACAGAGAGAGAAAGAGAGCAGAGGCTAACAAGCAATCACCAAAATTGCCACTTGCGACCAACCATTAGGTCCATTGCTAAAGAGTCCTGCCCAGGACTTAGAGAATTAATTACACAGTAGCCTTTGACTTCGTTTTCCTGCCTTAAAATTTCTCTCTTCCCTCAATGTACCTGAAATAGGGTTTACAAAACAGACATTTTAAAGAAGGCTAAATTATTTATTCCTATGACTAACCACCCAAATATATGTGAAGTTCCAAAAGCAAATGTGTGGAGCTGTGACTTCTCTACATTAGAGAATTTCACTATACATTTTATGTTAAATTCCTTCTTAAAAGAGCCAAATAGCTTTCTTATGACTTAGAAAACCACAAATGTGTAATAAACTTCCATTCCATTATATAATCATTTACAATAATCCTTCTTTCCATTTTTCAAGGAATCCCTGGAAGCCTGTAGCAATCTGGTTCCTGTATCCAGAGTGGCGTACAACATCCTCACCAAACTGGAGACGACGTTTAACCTGTCACTTCTGCAGATGTTGTTCAGCCAAATTAACCTGCGTGAATATCCCAACCTGATGAAGATTCTCAAGAGCTTCAAAAGAGGTATGAGGCTTCTTGAAGAACTTTTGGGCTATAGAGGTATAAGAGAAGTCGCTACGCTAAAAGTTTGAGTTGGTTTTCAGCCAACAGAATATGCACTTTAATTGCCCACTTTCTCTTTGGGAAGATACGGACCATACTCTCACAGGTGCCACAGGAAGAGTAGCCCCTGGCCTCGGTTCTCTAAGATGAATTTCTAGAGGACACGAATGTTTCTGTCTTACCTGTTCTACGAATCTGGGGGAAACTGCACAGTTTAACATACTGGATGGTCTCTAGGGAATGCGTAAGGTGACAGAAATGCAAAGTTACAGAGACTGGGTCTGGTGGAAGGCCAAGGAGAGCCAGAGAAGAAGACAAATGGATGGGGATGGATAATAATAAGTATCTTTTTTTTGGAGTGCTTACTGTGTGCCAGGCATTATCCCAAGCACTTTATATGATTATTTCATATCATCTTTAAACAATCCTGTGGAGTCACGATTACCCCATTTGACATATAAGGAAATTAAAGCTGAGAATAACCTTCCCAAAGTTACTTGTCTGTTAAAAGTGGAGCCAGGAGTCCTACTTAGGCCTCCTAATACCAGGGCCCAAGATTTTAATCACCATTCTAACCAAGGACAGCTGGAAGGCAGAGAGAAAAGCTGGAGGAGAGAAGAAAAGTAGCTACAGAGAAAGGGAGGGGAACTGTGGACACAGACAGAAAAGGATGGTATGAGAAAGAGGTGGGGCGTGAAGCACACTGAGAAGAAGAAAGAGCTGAATAAACAAAGGAGTCAAAAAAAGAGCCGTGACAGAGCTGGGAAGAAAGAAGCCAGGATACGAGGGGCCGGCAGTGAAAGCATTTTAGGTTTGAGGAAGAACACTTTGGCCAAAGCATGTGGTTGACTTATCTGAGAACAAGAGGGGGAGACCAGCAAATCGTGCTGGATTGCGACATTATATTTGTGGAGTCACCACTGTTGACAGCTCTTCATCTGCTTTCTGACACTTTACCATCAAGAGGCTCCTCCCCAAAGAGAGAAGTGATTCCTTGAGCTAAAGGGACAGCAAAAGAGAAAAGTCCTTCTCCAGGCAACTGCAGCTGCATGTGGGCCAGTGCTCCTGGCAGCATAGGCACAGTGTTGGGAGAAATGTGTTCTCAAAGGCTGGGCTAAGTAAGTCTGAGAACCGGAGGAACCACACACTGAGTGCCCCCCTGACCTGGCTGAGCTCAAGTATCTTTCTGGATCTGCAACTCTGTGATTTTGTTCTGGGCCCCTCTCCAAAATCCAACTTACTTTCCTTTTTCTGTTCACTGGTTGAGACTATTTTTCTTCTGAAACAAATAATGGAGAAGAATCATGAGAGAAACCCGGCACTGGCCATGCAGGGGAACAGCATACGGAAAGCCAAGAGCCTGGGGTATTGGGGATGGGAGAGAAATTTGGTGTGGCCAGATCATTGGGTGCAAGGTTTGGAGGCGTGGAAACTGACTCTGCAGAAATGAGCAGAAACCATAATATAAATGTCTTATATTTATCTCATTTGCCCCAGGGAGATGTGATATGTTTGTTTATTTATTAAACAGGAGAATCTATTAAAATTATAGCATTGTACATAATTGGTTAAATTCTGAAACCAAAATTAAAGAAAATTAAATCCCTGGGCACAAAGTCAAACTCAATTTTGTGTGTGAAACCACTTTGGCATTAAATCAGAGTTAGATGCAGTTACTGTAGCACTGAATGTCCAAATCAAATACATAAAATAGAAAGAGGCCACAAATGGACAATGATGATGATAAATTGGATCTATGCACCTAGGGGACGATGAATAATTCCATGCCCTGTCCTATTGGAAGTTGTGTGTAAAGAAATCAATCCCTTTCAAGTAATTCTGAGTCTCCAGGGTGTTGATGTATGCTCCTTCACCAATCCCAGTTGTTACCTCCTACGGAGGATGGAGCAGAACCACGCCGATCCTCACCGAAGTCCCAGCCAACCCAGCAGAAGGGAGCTCCCGCCAGGCCCTGCTGCTGCTGCCCCCACCCCAACGCCCTCCACCGAGCCGCCCACCCAGTGCACCCAGAGTCGGTGAGCCCAGAGCATCCACGCAGCACAGCGCTGAGATCCTGGGTGAGCCGCCCAGCTCTTCTGGCCCTGCCGTGTCTCCCCCCAGAGTCATCCAAGAAGGAAGGATCACTCCAGGTGAGAAATGACCTGTCCAACACATGTGCATCCCCAGCCGAGAGTCCCTGGGGCCTTGTCTAGAACCTCAGGGTCCCATCTTTTTGTTGATCTGGTCCTTCCCGTGCACCTACCTGCCCTGCACAGCCCTTTCCAAGATGGATTAAGGGCACTGCCGGGGTCTGGGTAAGGCCTAGAGCCCAGAACAGCTGCTTCCCACCCCTAGAACAGCACAACCCACTGCCCTCGGGTCTTGGTGCTCCTTCTACCCCAGGCATTCTTACCATTCCCTCTCCTCTCTGGAACCCTGTCCCTCTAATCTGTAACAATTTTTCCTCCTCTCTTCAATGACCAATGACAACCTAACATCCCACATAAATGACAAAGAAGACTCACAAGAGAGGCCCGGCACTCCGCCTGCCACTGTTCAAGGTAATGTTGCTCGAGGCTGACTTACTTTAGCTCAAGGTGGCCGTGAAGGGAGAACACCCACCTGCCAACCAAGAAGCTTGTGGTAGGAACCCTGGGAGAAAGAACTGGATATGACAAAGAGAAAGAAACGGGGGGGGGACCGATGCATCGACTGGGCACAGGCCCGCTTGTCAGGGATGCCGCCATAGCCAGTGTGATGCTGTGTTGTACAACAGCCCTGTCCAACCAGGACTCAAACCACGCTGTTCTGAATTGACAAGTAATTGTGCAACACGCACATCACGACCCTCACCTGATTGCTCGCCCTTTGATTGCGGGGGCCTTTCAGTTTCACCCACGCTCATTTTCATATGGTTTGGATTCTGAGTAATGTTACTGAAATTATTAGAAAAGATGTTAAATAGTTAAAGGTCTGCTGGACCTGATTTAGCTTCTAAAACTGTGTCACTTATCTCCCCCAAACCATCATTATAAAAGGCTTTGATTACATTACATATAACAGTGAAATATTATTGGGCACCGTCCAAGATGATATCATAGATTCCATGCTCTCTGATACAGAGAATAAAGGGCCCTATTTGGTCCAAATGTTTCCTCCACTCCTCTAATACGTACCATCCAAATAAGGTTAACATAATCATGAAGCCAATAACAATGGAAGATTCCATCATCTAGATTTTCAAAAGAAAAAATAAGTACCATGATTAAATTAGTAAATAGTTAATTGAAAGGAAATGATAGTTTACTCTCCCCCCACTCTCTCCCACCCTTGCCAGACTTTCGTGTTCAGGTGGCCCCATCATTTTTACTGGATGGAATAGATTGTTCTTGTTCCTTCTAACTCTAGTCCCTGCTTGCTGGCCTTGGGAGCTGAAATTCTTTTCTTCCTCCACTCAGTGTCCAGTGACAACCTGACCCCCCAAATAGAAGATAAAGAAGACACTCAAGAGATGCCCCGTGCTCCCTCAGGCCCAGTGCCAGGTAATCTTGATTTGGACAACTTAAGTTTGCCTTAGTTTTTGCATCTTCCAAGAGAAGAAGCCATTCAGATCTTCTAGGAACAGGGTTCTCTGCTCTCAATCGCCATCTTGGCTCAGCTTCCGGCTGCTCACCCAGCCCTCAGGAGCTTGGACAGGCAGGAGACCCAAACTCCCAAATGGAAACAGAATTGCTGGGCAGGGCAAAGGAGATGAGCCTGGGAAAGGTAGACTGAGAGGGAGGCACCGATGACGAGGGCCAGAAGCCCCACCAGTACCCACTGGACCTGGACTCCAAACACCACTAAGGAGTCTGCAAAGAGAGAACACTTATCTGCCAGGAGGGTTGTGGTGGGACCCCCTGGGGAAAGGACAAGGGACTGAGTCAGGGCAGGACTGTTGAACTCAGCCACTCTCTGCAGCCACTTCAATAAAATAAAGCTCAAAACTGCTCCATCAAAATGCAAAGCAAACAGAAACATGTGTGGCCCTCGCACTGCATTGTTGCCCCAGACGTGGATGGTCCTGCTTCCCAGCCCCCACCCTGACTGCAGGGAACTTTCAACTCTCATCATTTCTAAATTGTTTGGATTTTTAAGAGTAGATGTTATTTAAATAACTTGAAATGCAACAAATGATTTAAAAGGTCTAATGACTACTTTTCACCTGCCTCAATGACCTGTTCCTAAGCAGGCTGGAATTTGAGATGGACCTCATAACATTGTGTAAGCAAGAGGTGACAGCCTTTTGTGAGATGGGCCTTTATTTGTTATGGCTTCAAATCCTTCTGTCTTTCTTAGTGCAGCAAAAACTAGCAGAATTTTGTCTATATTTGCTTTTAACAAGCACTAGCAAGTACAGGCTAGCTCCTGCTTTCTTCAACAGTCCTCGTATATGGAAATATGTAAGGCGCGTAGCCTCCTTCACTATTTCTCAAGATGAAATAGTCATAGAGCAGTTTAAAAGTATCCATTCACAGACACACATGTAAGCAACAGCGTGTATTTTTCACATAGCAGAGACATGCCCCTTCATTGTGACCATCAGAATTCAAGGCCACCACCTACACTGCTCTCAGCCTCATCCCGAGTGAGGGCTGCTGAGAGCCATTGTACTTCTCTTCCATTGAGTAAGGGGAACCTCTCTAAATGGGCCAAACTGAGCCCTCCTCTGTGGGGCAATTGTTCCCTGTTTCACTGTGACAGTCATGCAGGTCACAATAACACAAGTTGATCAAATCAAGGCAGATCCAGGGAACCTTGTGAGCTGGCAGGTCCCCAGCCTTGCACTACATGTGCTCTCCACCCTTCTGGGTCTCCTACTGATCTCCCTTGGCATTTCTCTTCAGCCCATTCTGAGCTCTGAAATAAATTCTATTTCTTCTGTCAGTGATAAGAGATGATTCTCCTGAACCAACTGACCCAAAAGAGCCCCAGAAGGCATCCAGCACACCCCCCACAAAGAAAGGTAAGGATTGCCTTTCTCCTGGAGATGCTAGGAGGGTGAATTTGGAGTTACGTTCTGTTCTTCTGATCATATCTTGTCATAAGCACCCACTACGTGATTATAGTCAAGTTGCCCACTGCAATTTGTTTCTGCAATTCCCATTCACTGCATCTTCCTCTAAGGCCTTCAGGAAAATTATAAGGAAATGAGAAGGCATTTAGGGCCATTGAAATTTGCACCCATTGGAACTGCGTGTTCAGAAATCATCAAGGTCGCCTATATCCACAACTTCTTAGAGGATTAGTCGCTCCTCCCTCTTTAGCTGACAGTTGGTTCCCGAAGAAGACTCTGCTTCCTCTTAAGACATGGCTGCATATTCTCTGCTATCTCTCATCTCATGGTGGAAGGCAGGTGGGATGTCTACTCCTTGTTACTGATTGCCCACAACCAGCCCCTTGCTCCCTGACCCGCTCCTTAGAGCCTTGACCATTCAAGTGAAACACACTCCTTCTTCATCACTATCACCTGTTGCTCCCCTCCATGCCCCAGCAGACCTCAAGGCTGACTTAGAGTTTTTCTGTCACTTCAAGTCTTGCCATCATCCTGGACACCTTCGAGGTACACATAGGTAACAGGTCTATCCAATACCCTGACCTCTCAAATCTGCTCTCTCCAATGACTTTTTCCTCCACTCATTCTTGGCCTCCTGTGCCCAAAGGCAATCCACAGGCCCTTTCTTCATTCAAACCTGGCTCAACTCCCCAATAATTAATTTAACAATTCCTTTTTTTGACACCTGTCCTTGATGTTTGCTTCTTCTACAGGTATCGTTCAACCTCTAATCTCTCCTCCTCACCCCAATCTTAAAAAATTAATACAAAAATATCCCTGGCTGATTGCTTCCTTACAATTTATTCTCTCTGTAGCTGTCTATCAACCTCACTTAGAAGACCAGTCCACTGGCCTTTCCCTTTTCCAATCCATCATCTGCCTTTCTTCACATCCCTTCTTACCAGCTTAGAGTCCAAGATCCATCGTTTCTGTAACTCATTGCCAATATCTTAACCTGCCTTGTCTTTCTGTCTTATTCTAGAACTCTGGCAGGTTTTGGAGGAACCTATTATCTACTTTCTGCACATTGTATCTGAGAGCAGGCATTGCTGGGGAGAGTCACACAGTAGGGCAGAGTGCACCTACTGTGTCTTCACCATTCCAGTGCAAATGATCCCTCCACATGTGTGACAATTCCCCTACCTGCAATGATCCTTTCAGACCTTGAGCCCTTTTGTCCAAACCTCTGATACTCTCACCACCTCTTTTTTCCCCAAGAGATGACTTTTCCTCCTACTTCATAGAAAGGCATGAGATGGGAATACCCTCACTTCCTACTCCCAACCCTGCAAAACTTAATTGCATCTGTCCTCTCCTCTCCAGTACCCTCCTCTCCAAGGCAATCCCTCCACCTCTACCTGATGGTATCCATGATCCTTTCTCTCTCCTGAGAATTCAGCATCTCCCTTCCCCAAGCATCTGCATTCAGCCAACGCCCAAGCCCATCACAGCTCATAAAAGGAACTTTCTTTTGATCCTCGTCTCTCTTCCACTGCCTTCATAGTTCTCCCTTCCATTTCACAACCAAACTTCTAGAAATGAGTTACCTAAACTCATTCTCTCTATTTCTTCATGTCTCTCTCTCCTCTGCCGCTTTAGAATTTCTCCTCCCCCCATTACTCCATGAAGCAGCATCACCTAAGGTCACCAATGACCTCCTAGCCACTATGCTTTGACGACCAAAAGTAAAAACTGATAATTATTGACATATAAGGTTGGCAGACCTATGCTTGTAGCTATAAAAGATGACCTGTATCCTTTTTTTTTTTAGGAAAGAAAAGAAAAAGAGATATCTGGTCAACTCCAAAAAAGAGGCAGAAAAAAAGCCTCCCAAGAGGTAAGGAAAGTACGAGAGAAGGCTGGAGGATGGAGACGGCTCATGCTTATAGGTCAAGCTGTGCAAGTTGAATTTTATTCTAGATGCAATGGGGGACCGTTGAAGAGATCTGATCAGTGAAGTGACATGATCCAATTTTAAACTTGACCAATTTTGGTGCAGTGTAAAGAACAAATTGGAAACAGAAGAGAATGGAAGCAGGGAAGCCCTTTGGATGGCAGACGCCATGAGGGCGATAGTAGCCTGGAGTTAGAGCTGGCTGTGGAGATAGAGAGAAGAGCGCCAATTCAAGATCACTTTGGAGATAGAGTTGACAGGACTTGATAAATTGGAAGCAGAGGATGAGAGAAAGCGAAATCAAGGCTTGCTCTTCAATTTCTGACTTGAATGGCTGGGTGAATGGTGGTGCCCATTGCTCAGAAAGGATGCAAATATATTGAGGGGAAACTTTAGAAGTCAATTTTTTACCTGTTTCAAGATTTGTGCTAGGGCAGGCCCCGTGGCTTAGCAGTTAAGTGCGCGCGCTCTGCTACTGGTGGCCCAGGTTCGGATCCCGGGCGTGCACCGACGCACCACTTCTCTGGCCATGCTGGGGCCGCTTCCCACATACAGCAACTAGAAGGATGTGCAGCTATGACATACAACTATCTACTGGGGCTTTGGGGGAAAAAAAAAAGGAGGAAGATTGGCAATAGGTGTTAGCTCAGAGCCGGTCTTCCTCAGCAAAAAGAGGAGGATTAGCATGGATGATAGCTCAGGGCTGATGTTCCTCACAAAAAAAAAAAAAAAAAAGATTTGCGCTAGTCATCTGTGCAATTGTGCCAGGTGTGTGCTTTGCCAAGAACTGTGAAGGGTCTGAGATGTTACCCTACTTGCATAGTCATGTTCTTTATATACATGACTACTACAGACACCCGAGGCACCTGGGTCAGAGAAAAGAATTCTTTGTTGATATTCACAACCAGCTCAACAGCCAGAGTAACACTGCAGCATCTATCCCCTACACTCAGACCCACAGGCATCGAGAAGAGAGCTGATGGAATCTTTCTGTGCGAGTGGCAGATTACGTCCCACAGACAAGGAACAGAGAATGGTGGACTTTCTGTTAATGCACAGAACAAGGACAGCTATTCTCCTCCCCTCCTGAAAGGATTAAAAAAAAAAAAACTTTGCTGCTTCGAAACAGGATTGAAAAGATCCTGGGTCCTCACTCCATCTTTTGGAATTTAAATGCATATTTCCTCCAAGAGCCAGAGAAACTCAGGCTTTTACTAGAGATGTCTCCAAGTCCTGGGCTTCATCTCTTCTGACATGTAAATACCTAAGGAGAGGGTGCTCCAGTATTCCTGACACTTTGGGACTTAACCCAGGAACCTAGCGCTGGCTGTAACCCCTCAATTAGCTAAGCTGGTCCCACTGTGTGTTTCTATAGCACCCAGCACTGGCCCTTTTGGAAGATGACACAGTCTCTACTGTAATTACTTATGCAATGTGTCTCTTCTAGGCTAGATGGTAATCTCCAGGCACAAATGAGGGATTAATTAATTCTTGAATAAAAAAAGATGAAAGAAACCATATTTTCTGTATCCTATAATTTGGAGAATGACCAAGAATAGTTTATGAATTTATTGTTGTGTTATGCAAAGGAGTCACAGATACCACTAACACCACATGGTGCCGCTATAAACTAAGGATTATTGGAGGAAAATCTCACAGCAGAGAAGTAGAAACTGCACCATCCTCCAAATTCTTATTACTCCAAGTTTAGGGCAGGCACAGATGGTCTGCATGCCCCATGGCCAGCAGCCCAATACTGAGACACCCACTCCCATAGTGCTCTACATGTTTATAGAGGAGGACAGGAACGTCTATGTGACTGTGCAACAATGGATGCTCCCAGTCAGAGAAATGACCCTGTTAGAAAGGAGGAGACTTCAGGGTCCTAGGACTGGTGTTAGCCTGTTTCTATTGGGGTAACTCGGACCCGCTGAGACTTCCCTCTGCTAAGCTACCAAAAGGAGTAGGAGATGCCAGCCCCTTCCAGATTTGTCTTTCTTTCTATTGTATTTAAATGAAAAATTTTGCTGAGGTATTTGTGAGTCACATTATTTTACATTTAATTAATCACTTTTATTACAAATACTAAAAACACCTAAAAAGAGATACAAAATTTAGAGAAAAAAAGAACACTGACTTAGGCTGAAAATATACATACTATACTCTCGTACACATACACACACACAAAAAAAGTGGTATTCTTTATTTTCTGTAAGAGTTTTCATTTTCTCTGAAACCCTCCTTTTGTGATAGAGGAAAAATGTTAAACTTGCCAATTAAAGGCAAGTTTTATGCTCTTTTAGGTTACCCCATGCTCTTCTGGACAAACACTCAGTAATTTCTGTGATTGAACTTCCTGCTGATTCCGAGTACCCCCTCTCTAACATGTAGCCACTCCTGCTTCCTCCGGAAGTGGCTCATGGGTGTAGAGAGAAGCTCATGCATTCAACTGCCAGGAGGGGGTGTGGCTGTGCCACGTGCGCTTCCCCCCTGACCTCCATAGAAATATCCTTGCTCACTGGGCAGTGGTCATCCTACGCGGATCAGCTCCTAAAGTCCACAGCCAGTGAAAATTGTGATCTCCTCTTTCCACAGTGAAGCAGACTCACCCTGCACCCCTGGGCACTGCAAATCCTCTCAGTCTCAACCTCACCCTCCATGGCAAGGTCTCTGCTTCTCAATTCTTTGATACCTTGTATTTTCACCACTAGAGGTACTCAGAGACCCTGGGATCTCTCCTGTGTCACACATAGGCCCTGGGGAAGCCTGGAGAGGTATTTTATAAGCCGTTTCCTCTGCCAAAACAGACCACTCAGCCATTTCTACTCGGATGTGGCCACCTCCTGGAGGCAGGGGTCACACAGACAGGAATCAGGAAATAAGCCCCACTGCTCTGAGATTCCCCCAAATGTATCTGATTGATTTCAACAGGTTGTACAGAGGGTGAGGCCAAATGGTGAGTTTGAGAGAAAAAGAAAGGTGCACACAAGAAGAAATATGTAATCATAGAGAAACAGCAGGAGAAATATAGGGCAAAGGGGTACAGAAATCTTGAAGTGGGGAGCAGAAGAAGGGAAGTCATAACATGGGGAGGAGGAGATCCACTGGGGACCCCAGTTAAAACTGTTCACAAATCACTATTTTGCCCAGGGACAGCCTCACCTGGGCATGGAATCCAAAAGAAGCTCCAAGTGGTGGATCAGGCAACTCAAAGGAAGGACGGGAACTTGAAGGTCGTGACAAGGGTTCAAAAGGCGAGGACTGGATGTGCCCAAACCTTTGGACCAGAGGGTAAGACTGGTGGTGGAATCTTCCATTTGAACGCTCAGTGTGGGAGGGTCTTTCATGGAGCAGGCACAGGGTTAGGAGGACGTGTAAGTTAATAGTAGAAGGAGGGAGAAGTGCAGAGAAAGACAGTGAGGTTTGACAAGAGGGACAGAGAGGGAACAAAGGTCTGTTGCATCTGAGGAGTTTTTGTGTAGAAGCAACTGTGTTCACAGGGTCCAGCTGCCCTCAGCTGTGGCCTGGGCAGCAGCTTTCAAACTTTTTGGTTTCAGGACTCCTTTACCCTCTTAAAAATTATGGAGGACGCCAAAGGGCTTTTGTTTATGTTATTTATATCTATCTCTATGTAACTTATCAGAAATTAAAACTGTTTAAAAATATTTATGTATTAATTCTTTTAAAAGTAACAATAATAAACTGATTACCTCTTAACATAAATAGGATACTTTCATGAAAAATAAATATATTTTCCAAATTTAAAATATTAGTGAGAAGAGAGGCGTCATTTTACATTTTTGCAAATCTCTTTAATGTCTAGCTTATTCAAAGTCAGCTGGATCTGTAGGTGAAAAGGGTGGAGTATTTCAACAGTCTTTTGAGATATCTGTGGATATTCATCTTTCATTCTACACCTAAACTCAACAAGGGGTAGCTTCTTAAAGGTCAGTCGTAAGATAGAATCTGAAACCATATCAATGAACTCTTCATGCTCTGTTGCAGTAAAATGCATTATGCTATCTTGCTTTTTGAATAGCTCTAGTCATGCAAGATTTTATAATATCATGGACATTTGGAAAATATTGGTTCACTGGATTATACAGTGAGTCAGAACTCAAACAATCACACAAGTATTTTTCTTGAGACAACCGTGAACTTCATGATGCAGCCATCTGCTTCACATGTACTCTCCAGTTTTTCACAAACACTATTAAAAAGATGTGTACTCAGGGCCGGCCCGGCGACAAAGTGGTTAAGTTCAGTGCACTCTGCTTCAGCAGCCTGGAGCTCATGGGTTCAGATCCCGGGTGCAGACCCATACCACTCATCAAGCCATGCTGTGGCGGCAGCCCACATACAAAATAGAGGAAGATTGCCACAGCCGTTAGCTCAGGGCTAATCTTCCTCACACACAAAAAAAGAAAAAATTAAATTAAAAAAAAATAAGATGTGTACTCAAGGGTAGAAATTTAATAAAATTAATAATTTTTACTGGTTCATCAAGAACATTCTTCAGTGAAACTAGCTTTTTATAATGGTGAGTAAGTGATGATAAAGAATGCAATGACTACTCTCAAGGTTTGGGGACACAGCTTTGATTTATACTAAGGCACCAGCAATTTTACCTACCACGGCTCTTGCTCCACGTGTGCAATGGCTAACATAGTGAAAAAGGCAAATAACATCTTTGATAGAAGACAGTTTTGACCTTGAAGATCTCCTAAAAGAATTTCAGGGATCCCCCCCCCCCAGGGGTTCACGACTTCACTTTGAGCCTCTGGTCCAGGGGCTCAGGTGACTGTCCCCCACTAGACGTCTCCATTAGTAGAAGAAGCACTGCTGACCAGCCTTGCTCTGCTCTCCCCTGAGTGGCAGACAGACCCAGTGGTGGTTGCGTTTTCAGGAGGGCATCCTTAGAGGCTCAGGCAAGACCTGGAACCTCCAGCCTTTAGCTCCAGAATGTGCAAGGTCCTTCCAGGGTCTCTGGGAGATTCCCCATGGAACTTCCCAGGGGGCATTTTCTGAGATCTAAAAGGAGTGTTGTTTCTTTTTTCAGAGGTCAGTGATGACACTTCAGAAAGGAAAGAAGGAAGGAGACCCCAGGAGCCACCTAGCACACCACCAGGAATCATGCACGGTACAGAGGAGGGATTGCAAGTCTCAGAGTGCAGTTATCAGGAGCCCAAATTCAGAGATGTTTTACTCTAAACCAGAGTTCCTCAACCTTTTTTCCATTATCACTGCCCTAAGGAATCAACTTTGATATTTTTCCTAATCACGAACCCTCCCACATGATATTTTAATATTATAATATATATCAATTTATGCACCGTATATGTGTATACAGTCTTTATACATAAGAAGAGGAAGATTTTTTCCCCCAAGAACCAATATTTGGGCAACATCACCACCGCTGAGAATTCCTGCTCTAGGTATATTTGTGGTACTCTATTGAAAGTGCCCAAGTCATGGATCAAGTTTTTTCCTAAGGTCCTGATTTCCATTTTTCTCACATGACCTATCTGGGAAAATTGGGAAGAAAACAACTCACCTTAATCATAAATGTAATAGTATGACTGAGCGCCAGTAACTGACAGTGTTGCTCTGGGCATGTTCAGGTAAAATGGTGCGTGTTAATTCACTTCTCACCATCGCTGCTGTTATGCACATTGCTACCACTATCTGTGAAGGGGGAAAACACTGAAATTCTTCTGTTTGTAGGTGATTCTGTCATTGTGTCACAAATTCACAGAACTCCCCCATGACAAATGTGACTCTCAAATGACAAGTATCTAATTATTATCAGAAAGAATGGGTTAAATTTGACCATCTTAAAATACAAATGATCATTGTTAACAGTTTCTCTTACATTGCACTGAATTCTAGAGGAATATTTCAAATTTCCTCATGGGTAAATTCTATTTATTTTTATAACAACCCTTGGAGAAGGTTGAATAACTTATTCAATTTTACAGATGAGAACATTGAGACATGTAAAGGATCAATGGGTTTTCCCAAGATCCCCTGGATAAAGGTTGGCTGGCACAGGACTAGCATCTTTCTCCCTGGAACTCTCTTCAGGAGCCATCGTTCTCCATTAGAAAGGAAGGGACAGGAACAATACTGTCAAAGCTTTGCCAACTCAGTATTGTCTGAAATGAGTGTGGTCACAAAATGTAAAGCTTGTTTATTTCAGAATTCCTTTTTTTCTCATTATTTTCTAGATCCCATGGATAGTGGAACTCAATTGTCTTTGGGAAAATCTCCCGGAGAAAAGCGTAAGTGTAAACCTATTTGGTCTCTGTTAGGGTAGATTTGATGTTACTCCTAGTGGTTGTTATGTCCTTGGGGCTGCAGAAGACATCCAATCCAGAAGAAGACGTGTGCTTTTTAAAACAGTGATTTAACTTTTTTCCAACGTAGAAAATGTTCCATACTATAAAAGTAGTATGCTATTGCCATTAGGATTAGCTTGCTGTGTGTGACTGCAAACTAAACTCTCCCCACCAAAAAAAAAAACAATAGGAGGCCAGCCCCATGGCATAGTGGTTGAGCTAGGTATGCTCCTCTTCAGTGGCATGGGTTTGGATCTCGGGTGTGGACCCACACCACTCGTCAGCCATGCTGTGGTGGCATCCCACATACAAAATAGAGGAGGATTGGTACAGACGTTAGCTCAGGGCAAATCTTCCTTAGCAAAAAAAAAATATATATATATATATATATATATATATATAGTGGATAAAACAAGAGAGTGTATTTCTCTCTCCTGTATGGAGGTAGGTGTCAGGGGTTGACACTAAAAACCATAAAATCTCAGGCTCATTCTCGCCTGTTCCTCTGCCATCTTCAGTGTGTGGCATCCCCTTCATTGGGGTGCAGCCAGCAAGTCTGCTTTCCTCCAGGGAAAGAGGCAAAGTCAAGGAGGGGCATGCCTTCTCCACTGAAGGACATTGTCTGCAGGCTGCATTTCGTAATTCTGTTACAATTTCATTGCCAGGACTAGTTACATGACCACAGCTGACTGCAAAGAAGGCTGGAAGATGTTGTCTTTATTCTAGAAGGACAGGTATCCAGCTCCAAATCAGGGACTTCACTACTAAAGAAAAAGGGAGACAAGGGAAAGGGGAACAACCAGCAGTACTGGCCCTGCACACTGTTGTCAAGGGCATTACTAGTGCTCCCCACTCTTTCCGATTCCCCTCCCCTTCCCAGACCCTTGGAAAGCTACATTCCCCAGCCCCGTGCAGGAGACAGATCCATGAGACTGGTTCTGGCCAATGAGCTGGTGCCATGGGTGTCACTTCTGGGACAAAGCACATAAGAGCCACTGCGCAGCGTTCCACACTGTCCTGTGTGTGGAAGAGGGAGGTGCCAGAGCCCAAGGCAGCGGGGGTCTCAGCACCACCACACAGAAGACACAGACAACAGCTGCCCTGGAGACTCCAGGTCCTGCAGAGGACTCTGTGGGATGGGGAAACAGACTGTTGTGTGTTAAGCCACCAAGATTGGGTTTTGTTTGTTACTGCATAGCCTATCCTGTCCTGTCTGATACAGTGTTTCTAATAAAGTCTGCAAACGTACAGAAAATTATTAATCAAGAAATTAAATTCCTATTTAAACTGCTTCCCCTTTTATTTATATAACCTACAAATATGCATACATTTATCTTTTCCATGTATATACGCTCATACTATATAGTCACTTCTATAAACATTTTTTATTGTAAATTTAACACACATATCTCCATGTCAGTGTTATCTATTTTCTTTTCTTTTAGGGACCTAGCACATTATTGTGTGATTTTATATATGTTACCAATTTGTTCTGCAGAAAATGTAATTGTTTACATTCCCTTTAACAATACAGGAGCGCTCATTTCCTACATCCTCACTAACACTAGACATGATAAAACTTTTCAAAGGTTTGGGTGTCCTTAAAACCAAACAATGCATTTATTTATTAGTGTTCTAAAGATGACTTTTACAATAAATTTGTCATTTGCATTTTCTCTTTGATCATTTTCAATTTGTGCTTTTTGCCCATTTTCCCAGTGTACTGTTCATCTTTTGCTTTATCTACTAAGGATATTAATCCTGAAATGTTATATATAATGGATTTTTTCCATTTTCTTGTTTTAATATTGTGGAGATGTTTTTTGAATTGTGGACGCTTTTAATTTTTTAAACAGTCAAATCTATTCATCTTTTACCTTTATGATTTCTGGCCATGCATTTTGGCTAAAGAAAATCATTTATACCTGTGTCTGGTGACAATCTCCCTGTATATTTTCTTCTAGTCTTGAAAAAACTGGTTATTTTGGGAAATGGCATGTTTTAAAACTTAATAATTTAGTATATCTCAGTTACTTCTTTATTCAATGATTTTTTATTTCCAAGTAAAATGGAGTACTTTTTCCACATAGATTTTATGGTTTTCTTCCCTCCACAAGTACTGAGAAGACAGCAAAAATTTACTTGAAAGTATTGACTCAAGCTTGTAGATCAATATTTATAGCCATAGAGATGACTTTTTCTTTTTCTGTTTTAGAAAAGAAGAGAAAAAAATATAACTGGTCAAGTGCAAAAAAAAGACAGAAGAAAAGGCTCCCAAGAGGTAAGTAAGAAGCATGAGGTCCTTACTGCCTTGGTGTTCATCTGGGTCATCACTTGGCCAACCAGCGTGGCCTCCTCCCCAGCCACACGGCCACCCAGGTATCACTGGATCCCGGCAGCCCCACCCCTGCCCCCAGGCCACCCCATCAAAGGGCTCCTCCTCACGAGAGAAGGGGGACCCAGATGCCATGTTGGTTCAAACAGGCATCTTTTCTCTCATCACTGGGAAGGGATGGAGGTGGGGGTGGGCAGGAGGCATCAGTCAATTTTCAGATTAGGACGGTGTCCAGTGCAAGTTTAGAGCCAGGACGAGCAGACAAAGCAAACCTGAACGGGCAGGCAGGATTCAGACTCCTGGGCCCGCACTGGAGTTAGATCTGGAGTCACTGACCATTCAAAACCACCTCAGTCAGCGCATGCCTGCTTATCATGTACCTACACCATGAATGAAAATTGTGTTACCTGCAGCAGGGGAAAGAAAAAATTATGAAGCTGCATCTTTCTGTCTCCTCTGCTTCATTTCTCTTTGTCTTTATCACACTTTCCTCCTTTTTTGCATTCTCTCCCTCTTCCCTCTCCCCTCTCCTTTCTCCTTCCCTTTTTCTGTAGTTCCTCCCTAGGCTGGAGGGAACTCCCTCTGTCATAGGCTGTTGCCTCTACCAATGGCTTCTAGGAAAACTGGACTTTCAGATCTCCAAGATTTTCTTGTTGGTACATAAAGGTAATTTTTGGAACTTAGAAATCCTCTTTTGCTCCCAACAAATTCTGTTTCAGATTTTGTGTAATGAATCCAAAATAGTCTCAACTGAGCAGTGACTTCCTCAATCTAGCCAGCATCCCCCCTACCCCTGAAAATTACTGATTTCATAATTAGGGAACCCTGGGACACTAAAATTTATAACGATAAAAATACTTGATTCTAATATTTTAAAATCTACTGCCTGTTATATAATTATTCAATAAAGATGAACTGGGTTGAGGTGTGTGCCAGGCACGTGTCCTAGGTCCTAGGGACTCGGCAGTGAGCAAAACAGACAAACCCCTGCCCTCACTGATACACCTGTAGTTAATAGACAAAAAGAGGAGTTGAAAGGGAAAAAGAGAAACAGGAAGGAGTATTGTGAGTCTAGGGGAGAAAGAAAGATACACACAGGAAAATAGAGGAGTAACTATAGAGAAATAGCAAGATAAATGTGAGGTACGGAATACAAAGATTTCCTGAAAGGGTGGGGACTGAAGACATGAGAAAGAAATCACTAGTTAGGGGAAGACGGAGTTCACTGGGACCCCAATTAAAACTGTTCACAAATCACTATTTGGCCCAGGGGCAGCCTCACCTGGGCACGGAATCCAAGGGAAGCTCCAAGTGGTGGATCAGGCAACTCGAAGGAAGGACGACTCAACGAGGAACTCAAAGGTCATGCCAAGGGTCCAAAAGGCGAGGACTAGATGTGCCCAAACGTCTGGACCAGAGGGTGAGGCTGGTGACGGAATCTTCCATTTGAATGCTCAGTGTGGGAGGGTCTGTCATGGAGCAGGCACAGGGTTAGCAGGACGTGTAAGTTAGTAGTAGAAGGAGGGAGAAGTGCAGAGGAAGATGGTGAGGTTTGACAAGAGGGACAGAGACGGAACACAGGTCTGTTTCATCTGAGTTTTTGTGCAGAAGCAGCTGTGTTCACAGGGTCCAGCTGACCTCAACTGTAGTCTGAGCAGCAGCTTTCAAACTTTTTGGTCTCAGGACTCCTTTACCATCTTAGAAATTATAGAGGACCCCAAACAGCTTTTGTTTTTGTTATTTATCTCTATCTCTATGTACCTTATCAGAAATTAAAACTGTTTAAAAATATTTATGTATTAATTCATTTAAGAATAACACAATCAATTACTTGTTAACAGAAAAACATATTTTATGAAATAGGAGTCTTTTCCAAATTTAAAAAAATTAGTGAGAAGAGTGACATCATTTTACATTTTTACAAATCTCTTCAATGTCTAGCTTAATCAAAGACAACTGGATTCTTTTTTTAATCAGATATAATTGACATATAACATTATATTAACTTCAGGTGTACAACATAATGATTCAATATTTGCATATATTGTGATATAATCACCACGGTAAGTCTAGTTAACATCCATCACCATACACAGGTATGTTATAAAAAAGTTATAAATTTTTTTTCTTGTGATGAGAACTTTTAAGATCTACTCTCTTAGCAACTTTGAAATATACAGTACAGCATTATTAACTATAGTCACCATACTGTATATTACATCCTCATGACTTATTTATCTTATAACTGGAAGTTTGTACCTTTTGACCTCCTTCACCCATTTCATGCACTCCAGCCCCCTGCCTCTGACAGTCACCAGTCTGTTCTCTGTATCTATAAGTTTGTTTTTTTGCTGTCGTTTTTTAGTTTTGTTTTTTTAGATTCCACATAGAAGCGAGATCATACAGTATCTTTGTCTGACTTATTTCACTTAGCATAATGTCCTCAAGGTCCACCCATGTTGTCACCAGTGGCAACCTTTCCATATTTTTCATGGCTGAATAATATTTCATTGTATATTATACCACATTTTCTTTTTTTTTTTTAATTTTTTGTTTATTGCAGTAACATTGGTTTATAACATCGTAAAAATTTCAGGTGTACATCATTGTACTTCTATTTCTGCATAGATTACATCATGTTCACCACCAAAATACTAATTACAACCCATCACCACACACATGTACCGAATTATCCCTTTCGCCCTCCTCCCTCCCCCCTTCCCCTCTGATAACCACCAATCCAATCTCTGTCCCTATGTGTTTGTTTATTGTTGTTATTATCTACTACTTAATGAAGGAAATCATACGGTATTTGACATTCTCCCTCTGACTTATTTCACTTTGCATTATACCCTCAATGTCCATCCATGTTGTTACAAATGGCTGGATTTCATCGTTTCTTGTGGCTGAGTAGTATTCCATTGTGTATATATACCACATCTTCTTTATCCATTCGTCCCTTGATGGGCACTTAGGTTGCTTCCAAGTCTTGGCTATTGTGAATAACGCTGCAATGAACACAGGGGTGCATGTATCTTTATGCATTGGTGTTTTCAAGTTATTTCGATAAATACCCAGCAGTGAAATAGCTGGATTATGCGGTAGTTCTATCCTTAATTATTTGAGGAATCTCCGTACTGTTTTCCATAGTGGCTGCACCAGTTTGCACTCCCACCAGCAGTGTATGAGAGTTCCCTTCTCTCCACATCCTCTCCAACACATGTTGTTTCCTGTCTTGTTAATTATAGCCATTCTGACGGGCGTGAGGTGATATCTCATTGTAGTTTTGATTTGCATTTCCCTGATAGTTAGTGATTTTGAACATCTTTTCATGTGTCTGTTGGCCATCTGTATATCTTCTTTGGAGAAATGTCTGTTCAGTATACCACATTTTCTTTATCCATTCATCCATCAATGGACACTTAGGTTGCTTCCATGTCTTGGCTATTGTAAATGATGCTGCAGTGAACACGGGGGTGCATATATCTTTTCAAGTTAGTGTTTTCCTTGCCTTCAGGTAAATACCCAGAAGTGGAATTGCAGGATCATATGGTAGTTCTATTTTCAATTTTTTGAGGAACCTCCCTGCTGTTTTCCATAGTGGCTGTACCTATTTACATTCTCACCAACAGCGCACAAGGATTCCTTTTTCGCCACATCCTCACCAGTTGGTATTTCTTGTCTTTTTGATAATAGCTGTTCTAACAGGTGTGAGGCTAGATCTCATTGTGGCGTTGATTTGCATTTCCCTGATGAGTAGCGATGTTGAGCACCTTTTCGTGTACCCATTGGCCATCTGTATGTCTTCTTTGGAAAAATATTTATTCAGACCCTCTACCCGTTTTTTAATTGGATTGTTTGTGTTTTTGCTATTGAGTTGTATTAGTTTTTTATATATTTTGGACATTAATCCTTTATCATATACATGATTTGCAAATATTTTCTCCCATTCGGTGGGTTGTCTTTTCATTTTGTTGATGGTCTCCTTTGCTGTGCAGAAGCTTTCTAGTTTGATGTAGTTCCACTCATTTATTTTTGCTTTTGTTGCCTTTATTTTTGGTATCAAATCCAAAAAATCATCACCAAGATCACTGTCAAGGAGCTTACTGCCTATGTTTTCTTCTAGGAGTTTTAAGGTTTCTGCTCTTATGATCAAATTTTTAATCCATTTTGAGTTGATTTTTATGTATGGTGTAAGATAGTGGTCCAATTTCATTCTTTTGCATGTACCTGTCCAGTTTTCCCAATGCCATTTATTGAAGAAACTTGTCTTTTCCCGTTGTATATTCTCGGCTCCTTTGTCATAAGTTAATTGACTTTATATGTGTGAGTTTATTTCTGGGCTCTGTATTCTGTTCTATTGATTTATACATCTGTGTTTATGCCAATATCACATTGTTTTGATCACTGTAGCTTTGTAATATAGTTTGAGATCAGGAAGCATGATGCCTCCAGCTTTGTTCTTTTTTCTCAAGAAAGAGAAATTGCTTTGGCTATTCAGGGTCTTTTGTGGTGCCATACAAATTTTAGGATGGTTTGTTTTTCTCTGAAAAATGCCATTGGAATTTTGATAAAGATTGTATTGAACCTGTAGATTGCTTTGGGTAGTATAGACATTTTAACAACATTAATTCTTCCAATCCTTGAGCACAGAATATCTTTCCATTTATTTGTGTTTTCTTCAATTTCTTTCATCAGCGTCTTAAAGTTTTCAGTGTACAAGTCTTTCACCTCCTTGGTTAAATTTATTCCCAGGTACTTTATTCTTTTTGATGCAATTGTAAATGGGATTGTTTTCTTAATTACTCTTTCTTATAATTTGTTATTAGTGTATAGAAATGCAATAGATTTTTGTATGTTGATTTTGTATCCTGCAACTTTACTGAATTCATTTACTAGTTCTGACAGGTTTTTGGTGGAGTCTCTAGGATTTTCTATGTATAGTATCATGTAATCTGCCAATAGTGACAGTTTTACTTCTTCCTTTCTGATTTGGGTGCCTTTTATCTCTTTTCCTTTCCTAATTGCTGTGGCTAGGGCTTGCAATACTATGTTGACTAAAAGTGGCGAGAGTGGGCATTCTTGTCTTGTTCATGATCTTAGAGGAAAAGCTTTCATCTCTCATCATTGAGTATAATGATGTGGGCTTGTCATCTATGGCCTTTAGTATATTGAGGTACATTCCTTCTATACCCACTTTGTTGAATTTTTATCATAAATAGATGTTGAATTTTATCACCTGCTTTTTTTGTATCTATTGAGATGATCATATGATTTTCATTCTTCATTTTGTTAATGTGGTATAACACATTGATTGATTTGCAGATGTTGAACCATCCTTGCATTTCTGGAATAAATCCCACTTGATCATGGTGTATGATCCTTTTACTGTATTGTTGAATTTGGTTTGCTAATATTTTGTTGAGGATCTTTGCATCTCTATTCATCAGGATATTGGTCTGAAATTTTCTTTTCTTGTGATGTCCTTGTCTGATTTTGGTATCAAGATGCTGCTGGTCTCATAAAATGAGTTTGGAAGTGTTGCCTCCTCTTCTGTTTTTTGGAAGAGTTTGAGAAGGATTCGTATTAATTCTTCTTTAAATTTTTGTAGAATTCACCAGGGACGCCATCTGGTCCTGGACGGACTTTTGTTTGTTGGCAGGTTTAATGATTCAATCTCCTTACTAGTAATTGATCTGTTTCAGATTTTCTATTTCTCCATGATTCAGTCTTGGTAGGTTGTATGTTTCTAGGAATTTATCCATTTCTTCTAGGTTGTCCAATTTGTTGATGTATAATTGTTTGTAGCAGTCTCTTGTGATCCTTTGTATTTCTGTGGTATCAGTTGTAACATTTCCTCTTTCATTTCTGTTTTTATTTATTTGAATCCTCTCTCTTTTTTTCTTGGTGAATCTAGCTAAAGGTTTGTCAGTTTTGTTTATCTTCTCAAAAAAACAGACAGTTGGATTCTTGTATCTGCTTCTGCGTTGAATCAGTTGTGATATATTGCTTTGACTGAAGTATAGGAAGAAAATTCAGCCTCATACAGATCTGTACTAGAAAAAGGTGGAGTATTTTAACAGTCTTTTAGGAGATCTGGGGATATTCGTCTTTGATTCTACACCCAAACTCAACAAGGGGTAGTTTCTTAAAGATTAGTTGTAAGGTAGAATCTGAAACCATTATCAATGAACTTTCATACTTTGTTACAATAAAATGCATTATGCTATCTTGCATTTTGAATAGATCTTCTACTCATGCAAAATTTTATAATATCATGAACATTTGGAATATATTGGTTCACTGAATTATATAGCGAGCTTGCAGCTCAAACAATCACATAGGTATTTCTCTCGAAACAACCATTGATCCTGGTACTTCAGTATGCAGTGAACTGCTTTATATATACTCTCCAGTTTTTCACACAGACTATTAAAAAGATGTGTACTCAAATGTACAAATGTAATAAATTTAATAGCGCTTACTGGTTCATGAGGAGCATTCTTAAGTGAAACTGGCTTATTTTATGATAAATGGTGGTGGAAAATGCAATGACTACTCCTAAGTTTCAGGGACACTACTTTGATTTCTACTAAGGCACCAGCGGTTTTACCTGCCTTGGATCTTGCTCCATGTGTGCAAAGGCTAACATAGTGAAAAAGGCAAATAATATCCCTTAATGAAGACAGTTTTGACCTTGAAGATCTCCTAAAAGGATTTCAGAGACCAGGGGTTCATGACTTCACTTTGAGCCTCTGGTCCAGGGGCTCAGATGACTGCCTCCCATTAGACGTCTCCATTAGTAGAGGAAGCACTGCTGACTAGCCTTGCTCTGCTCCTCCCCTGAGTGGCAGACAGACTCAGTGATAGATGCATTCTCAGGAGGGCATCCTTGGAGGCTCAAGCAAGACCTAGACTCTCTAGCCTTCAGCCCCAGAGTGTGCAAGGTCCTTCCAGGGTCTCTGGGAAATTCCCCACGGAACTTCCCAGGGAGCATTTTCTGAGATCTAAAAGAAATGTTGTTTTTTTTTTTTTCAGAGATCAGTGGTGACGCTTCAGAAATGAAAGAAGGTAGGAGACCCCAGGAGCAGCCTAGCACACCACCAGGAATCATGCACGGTACAGAGGAGGGATTGCAAATCTCAGAGTGCAGTTATCAGGAACCCAAATTCAGAGATGTTTTACTCTAAACCAGAGTTTCTCAACCTTTTTTCATTATCACTGCCCTAGGGAGCCCTCTTAAATATTTTTTCCTAATCACAATATTAATACCACAAATATATTACATATCCACTTGTGTACTGTATGTATATATATATTTGTGCTTTATACATAAAAAGAATTAGTTTTTTTCACCCCCCAAGGACCAGTTTTTGCGCCTTTGGGAGCAACATCATCACTGCTGAGTAGACATGCTCAGTTATATTCATGGTACTTCATTGAAGGTGCCCAAGCCATGGATCAAGTTTTTTCCTAAGATCTCAATCTCCGTATTTCTTAAATAACCTTTCTGGGAAAATTGGGAAGAGAACAGCATCTTAACGACAAATGTGATAGTATGACTGAGCACCAGTAACTGACAGTATTGCTCTGAGCGTGTGCAAGTAAAATGGTGCGTGTTAATTCACTTCTCACCATCACTACCGTTATGCACATTGCTACCACTATCTGTGGAGGGGGAAAAAGCTGAAATTCTTCTGTTTGTTGGTGATTTGGTCATTGTGTCACAAATTCACAGAATTCCCACATGACAAATGTGACTCTCAAATGACAAGTATCTAATTATTATCAGAAAGAATGGGTTAAATTTGACCATCTTAAAATACAAATGATCATTGTTAACAGTTTCTCTTACATTGCACTGAATTCTAGAGGAATATTTCAAATTTCCTCATGGGTAAATTCTATTTATTTTTATAACATCCCTTGGAGAAGGTTGAATAACTTATTCAATTTTACAGATGAGAACATTGAGACATGTAAAGGATCAATGGGTTTTCCCAAGATCCCCTGGATAAAGGTTGGCTGGCACAGGACTAGCATCTTTCTCCCTGGAACTCTCTTCAGGAGCCATCGTTCTCCATTAGAAAGGAAGGGACAGGAATAATACTGCCAAAGCTTTGCCAACTCAGTATTGTCTGAAATGAGTGTGGTCACAAAATGTCAATCTTGCTTATTTCAGAATTATCTTTTTTTTCATTACTTTCTAGATCCCATGGATAATGAAAGTAAACTTTCTTTGGAAAAATCTTCTGGGGAAAAGCGTAAGTATAAACCTATTTGGTCTCTGTTAGGGTGGATCTGATGTTACTCCTAGTGGTTGTTACATCCTTTGGGCTACAAAAGACATCCAAGCCAGAAAAAGACGTGTGCTTTGTAAAACAGTGATTTAACTTTTTTTCAACATAGAAAATGTTCCATACTATAAAAGTAATATGCTGTAGCTATTGGGATTAGCTTGCTGTGTGTGACTGCAAACTAACCTCTCCCCACCAGAAACAAACAAACAAAAAAATAGTGGCTAAAACAAGGGAGTTTATTTCTCTCTCCTGTGTGGAGGTAGGTGGTCAGGGGCTCACTTCATACACCATAAAGCCCAGGCTCATTCTCGCCCATTGCTCCACCATCCTCTGCATGTGGCATCCCCTTCACTGGGGTGCAGCCAGCAAGTCTGCACTGCAGCCAAAGGGAAAGAGGCAAAGTCAAGGAGGGGCACGCCTCCTCCATTGAACGACATTGTCTGCAGGTTGCATTTAGTAATTCTGTTACCATTTCATTGCCAGGACTGGTTACATGACCACAGCTGACTGCAAAGGAGGCTGGGAAATGTTGTCTTTATTCTAGAAGGACAGGTATCCAGCTTGAACTCAGAGTCTTCACTACTAAGGAAAAAGGGAGACCAGAGAAAGGGGAACAACCAGCAGTACTGGCCCTGCACACTGTTGTAGTGGGCATTACTAGTGCTCTCCACTCTTTCCTATTCCCCTCCCCTTCCCAGACCCTTGGAAAGCTACATTCCCCAACTCCTTGAAGGACACAGATCCACGAGACTGGTTTTGGCCAAATGAGCTGGTGTCACTTCTGGGTCAAAGCACATAAGAGCCACTGCGCAGCGTTCCACACTCTCCTGTGTGTGGAAGAGGGAGGTGCCAGAGCCCAAGATAGCGGGGGTCTCAGCACCACCACACAGAAGACAGCTGCCTGGGAGACTCCAGATCCTGCAGAGGATTCTGTGGGATGGGGAAACAGACTGCTGTGTGTTAAGCCACCAAGACTGAGTTTTGTTTGTTACTGCATAGCCTATCCTGTCCTGTCTGATACAGTGTTTCTAATAAAGTCTGCAAACGTACAGAAAATTATTAATCAGGAAATTAAATTCCGATTTAATCTGCTTTCTCCACCTTATTTATAAACATTGCATATACACATACTTCATTATATCTCTATCTACATATATATATTTATATAGTGGTATATAGAATAAACTAAATCCCTAGATAAAGTAGTTTATAGAGTAGACTGTGTACTCTGACTTTGTACAATGAGTACACTGTGAGTATATATATTCCTAGAATATAGTCTATTCTGTAAACTACTTTTTTCATTGAGTTTTTAACACACATATCTCATGTCAATGTTATCTACTTTCCTTTGTTTTAGCTACATAGTGCATTATTGTATAATTAACCACAGTGTGTTTAAATAATTACCTACTGATGGACAGTTAGGCTATTTACAGTTTTTGTATGAAAATGGAAATTGTGTGTGGGTGTGTTTGTATCTTTGCACACTTGTCCAATAATTTCCTCACAATTAATTTCTAAATATGAAATTGGTTGGGGTCTACATATCTTACGTTTTATGTTATATATTATATTATATATATTCTATTACATAAGTTGTTCTCAGAAAAGGTAATTGCTTAAATTCCCTTTAACAATACAGGAGTGCTCATTTCCTACATCCTCACCAACACTAGACATGATAAAACATTTTAAAGGTTTAGGTATCCTAAAACCAAACAATGCATTTCTTTGATTATTAGTGGTCTAAAGATGATCCTTAAATAAAATTTTCATTTGCATTTTCTCTTTGAGTATTTTCAGTTTATGCTTTTTGCCCACTTTCCTAGAGTACTAATCATCTTTTGCTTTATCTATTAAAGATATTAACCTTCTAACATTACATATTGAAATTTTTTCCTTTTGTTTTACTATTATGAGGATGTTTTTCAAAGCGTAAACATTATAATTTTTTAAACACTCACATCTTTTAATATTTACCTTTATGATTTCTGGCCTTGAGTTTTGGCTAAAAAAATCTTTTCTATCTGTGGCTTAAAACAATCCTCCTCTAAATTTTCTTCTAGTCTTGAAAACATTGGTTATTAATTTGGAAAAATAGCGTATTTTAAATGTTAATAATTTAGTGTATCTCTGTTACTTCTTTATTCAGTCCTTCTTCATTTCCAAGTAAAATGGAGTACTTTTTCCAGATAGGTCATGGTTTTCTTGCCTCCAAAAGTGATGAAAAGACAGAAAAAAAATTACTTAGAGGTATGGACGTCTCAAGTAGGTAGATCAATATTTATAGCCATAGAGATGACTTTTTCTTTTTCTGTTTTAGAAAAGAAGAGGAAAAAATGTAACTGGTCAAGTTCAAAAAAAAGACAGAAGAAAAGCCTCCCAAGAGGTAAGTAAGAAGCATGAGGTCCTTACTGCCTTGGTGTTCATCTGGGTCATCACTTGGCCAACCAGCGTGGCCTCCTCCCCAGCCACACGGCCACCCAGGTATCACTGGATCCCGGCAGCCCCACCCCTGCCCCCAGGCCACCCCATCAAAGGGCTCCTCCTCACGAGAGAAGGGGGACCCAGATGCCATGTTGGTTCAAACAGGCATCTTTTCTCTCATCACTGGGAAGGGATGGAGGTGGGGGTGGGCAGGAGGCATCAGTCAATTTTCAGATTAGGACGGTGTCCAGTGCAAGTTTAGAGCCAGGACGAGCAGACAAAGCAAACCTGAACGGGCAGGCAGGATTCAGACTCCTGGGCCCGCACTGGAGTTAGATCTGGAGTCACTGACCATTCAAAACCACCTCCATCAGCTCATGCCTGTTTATCATGTATCTACTCCATGCACGAAAGTTGTGTTATCTGCAGCAAAGAAAAATTTATGAAGCTGCATCTTTCTGGCTCTTCTGTTTTGTTTCCCTTTGTCCTCATCACACTTCCTTCCTTCTGCTCTGCATTCTTTCCCTCTTCCCTCTCCCTTCACCTTTCTCCTTCCCTTTTTCTGTAGTTCTAGGTATGCCAGTTGGTGGAGATTCTCTTGGATTCCTGCCCTTATGGGTCTGGGGCACCCTGGGAGGGCATCTCCTCTCAGCTCCCAAAGATGCAGCATGACATGAGCGTCACTGCTTTGGACACCCCCAATTTTCCTGCTTGTTTCTAGCATCCCTCAATCCTGGGGGTTGACCTGGGAGGGGACTCAGACAACCTTGTGTGCCCTTCTCCTCCCCTTGTCTCTTCTTCTCAATTCCCAGCCCCATTGCCTCCCTAGGCTGGAGGAAACTTACTCTGTCATAGGCTGAGTTTTCTCTACCAATGGCTCCTAGGAAAACTGGACTTTCATATCTCCAAGCTTTTCTTGTTGGCATATAAAGGTAATTTTTGGAACTTAGAAATCCGCTTTTGCTCCCAACAAGTTCTGTGTTTCAAAATTTTGTGTAATGAATCCAAAATAGTCTCAACTGAGCAGTGACTTCTTGGTTCTGGCCAGTAACTGCCCTTCCCCTGAAAATTACCAACTTCATAATGAGGGAACTCTGGGGCATTACCATTTATGAGGAGGAAAATCATGATTCTAATATTTTCAAAAATCTACTGCCTGTTATATATTCATTCAACAAAGATGAATTGGGTGAAGGTGTGTGCCAGGCACGTGTCCTAGGTCCTGGGGACTCAACAGTGAGCAAAATAGACAAAAGCCCTGCCCTCACTGACACACCTGTAATTAATTGCCAAAAGAGGAGTTGAGGGGGAAAAAGAGAAACAGCAAAGAGTATTGTTGAGTCTGGGGGAGAAAAAAAGATACATACAAGAAAGGAGAGGAGTAATTACATTCATGTGTAGCTTAACGACAAGGATTCGTTCTGAGAAATGTGTTGTTAGGCAATTGCGTTGTTGTGTGAACATCATAAAGTGAACTTACACAAACCTGGATGGCATAGCCTACTACACACCTAGGCTCTATGGTACTAATCTTATGCGACCACTGTCAAACGTTTAGGATGGATTCCCTTTTCCCTGCATCTTCACCAACTCTAGAAATAACAAGACTTTTCTATGTTTGACAAACATAAAGTGAAGAATGCACATACATTTTTCTCTAAGTGTGTTACACCAATGCTACTCAACACGCCAGCCTGCGATGAGACAGGAGCTTGACCAGAATAGAAATCAGTGCACTACTGTCTCCACTGGGCTGTCTTGCTATGAAAATAGTACGCTCAGTGTCACAGTTGATTTACAAGCTCCTTATTTTTTTGAGTGTTTATAGCAGCTTTATTCATTTTTTTATTGAGGTAACATTGTAGGAATTTCAGGTGTGCATCATGTTTCTACTTCTGTATAGACTGCATCCTGTTCCCCACCAAAAGTCTAGTTTCCATCCATCACCAAACACATGTGTCCCTTTACCCTTTTTGCCCTCCCTGCACCCTCTTCCCGTCTAGTAACTACCAATCTGTTCTCCTTATCTATGTGTTTGTTTGGTTGTTGTTGTTGTTTTTTCTTCCACATACGAGGGAAATCATACAGTATTTGGCTTTCTCGGTCTGACTTCTTTCAACAAGCTCCTTATTTTTGCAGACCTGCAACAAACAGGCTTGTAGATGGCACCCGTCTGTAGACCCCACCTGGAGTAGCATCTATTAGACTTCAATAATAAATTAATGGGGAAAAAAAGGACACTGTGCCTGGTGCCTAAAGAGGGAGGAGAGAGTGACAAAAGACAATGCTGAGGAAATAAGTTTAAAAAGCAGAAGAAAAGTGAATGCAAGAAGAGGAGGAGGGGAAAAAGGAGAAGGAGGGAGAGGAGGACAGTGGCCCCGAGAGGCACATACCGTAAGTGAACTGCTTGAGGAATTAACGCAAAGGAAGACCCTCATGTACCCAGCACCCAGGTCTAGAAGCAGCACACAAGCCACATCTATTTTCCAATCCCTACCCACACCCCAAGGGCCCCCATTAGCCTGATTTCTCAAGGCATATGTCACTTTGACTCTGAATGCTTCCCCTCGCTTCCTGCTCAGGGACTCCTCAGTGTGTCTACACACACACACTCACACACACACACGCACGCACACTCACTCCTTCCCCAAAACGAATCCCTTCATCCTCCTCCCGCCCTTTGCCACATATCCTCAGACTCTCACTTTGGACAAAGCATTCTCTGCCCCGACAGGCAGGGCTAGGTCTCCCTGGCGCTTCATGGAGTCCTGTATTTTTCCTCCGTGGCACTTACCACAGCTGCAATGAACTGTCTGTGGACACCCTGTCACTGCGTGAAAGTCAAGTGAGGTCAGTAAGCGGGTTGGTCTTGCTCATTGCGCTGGCTCCTCTGTGCCTCGCATAGTTTGTGCTTAAATAACCGTCAAATCGATACGTTCTTCATTCTTCTTCACCAAGTATGAAAACCAGTATCAGGGCCTCCATTGACCCGTACAATGCACTCGTGTGAACTAGAAAAAGTGCCCCTTCCTCAATACCCTTTCCCTGCATCTGTGGGAGCTGACTCCTGAAACCAGGCCCTTGGCTGCCCTCTGCTGGAAGGTTGTTGTAAGACGTGTACAAATGGATTATGTTTGACGTCAATTCCAGTCCCCCCTGAAAGGTGGCATCCTTGCTCAGTGCACAACCCACGCAGCCATATGCAGAGGCCCTGATAACAATGTAAGAATGTACATCACTTTACAGTTGGCAAAGCACTTTGTTCTACATTATGCCATAGAATCCTCAAATAAGTATTCAGCTCATTTTACGGATTCAATTAGAGCATAAAAGACTTGCATGAGCTAAAAATCAACCTAGATGTTTGAATACCGAATCCTTTGTTCTTTACACTAAAAAACAAAACAAAAAATCCCCGGTCTTTTTAGAAAACACTAGTAGCAGGCAAGAGTCTAGGCAAATGCTGACAGCTGTTCATCAGCACTGGCTTATTCTGTCTCCTTTGCCATCACTGTGACTTCTAATTTGACACAGGATGTCTCTGGGCTGTTATCAACCATATGATGTGGAATCTTGCTGAGGCATTTCTGATGGTACAGAAAGAGCACTAGACCAGGAGTCCAGCATGTCTGCATTCCAATGCCAGCTCCACCTCATATACTGCGGTGACCACCAGGAATTCTCTCTCCAAATCTGAGCCTGAGTCCCATCTATAAAATGGGGATCATCATCACTGCCTTCCCTTTCTTACAGGTTGTTGTGAAAATATTGGTACAATGTGTGTGCTGCCTTTACTATTCCTTGACTTGCTTTTCCTCCAGCCACTCCACCTCCCCGCGGACCCTTCATGTACAGATCATAGAGCTCCCAGATCTTTCCCCAGGCCATGTCTTTGTTCTTTAATTGCTCACTTGTCATAGCAGGCTTGTGGTTGTTAGTTCATACTTATATGTGATGATCTAATAGATGTCGGAGGGCTCCAAGCAGGCCTTTCCCTCAGGGTTCCATCTTTAAAGGGCTGTTCGCTGAGATGAGCAAGTGAGGCTCAGCCAAATGCAGGATTTGGGGGAACAGATCAGAAAGCTGTCTCCCTCTCTTAGGGGCAGGGTAGTGATGTCAGAAATGCTCGGGACACAAGGTCCTGCCTGACTCGGGTTGCTGCCTGCACCAGGTAATGGAGGGGGTGCTGCTTCTGCCCACGATCCTGCACCCTGGCTTGCTGCCCAGAGCTGCCAAAGCCACCCCTGCTCCCACATCTGCTTGTGAGCGCATATGGGACACCTGTGTTCCTTGGCCCCATACTTACCATAGGGAATAAGAGAAGACAGTTCTGTGAGGCAGAGAACTATAGAAGGTCCTTATTGTCGTGCTAATCCCCCACGGGGTTTGCAATAATGGTCCAAAGTTACCTGTGGCTCTGCTTTGTCACCCAAGTTAGGAACCTGCAGTGGCAAATCCCCCCCTCAACTTGGATAACAATAAGACACACTTATGTAACCTTGCTAATAAATTGCAGAGCTGGGATCACAAGCCCACCCAGTCTGGCTCCCGAGGCTGTGTTTTCATCCACTGGGCCATATTTAGTGGGCAGAGCTGGAGACAAGTGGTGGAGCCGACCACTGCATGCAAGAGCGCTGGCCGGCTGTTGGAACAAAGTTCTTCTCACCCCCTCGTTCCTACCTAGTCTCGCTACAGCTCCTGCTCCCCCAAGGCGGGGCATCCTCTGGGATTCTGTTGGAGGAACCACCCCTCACTTCTCAGGGATCTCTCCTTTCTCGGTCTGACTCTACGTGGTTCGTATCTTTCCAAAGTAACTAATGGCTTCTTCTCCGTTGATGTTGCTCTGTTCTTTTTCCAGTGATGCTCTTGCTTTTTCATACATTTTCCTTTGGCTCTTTCAACAAGTGTTTGAGGCAGGGGAAAGAGTTGGACAAGGTGTTCTCCTAGCATCAGTCCAGATGTAACATTCTCTATGACTAACATAAACCATAGACAGCCCTTTCCCCTCGCCTCCAAGAAACAGCTCCTGCAGTCTGTCTTAGATGAAATTCACCCACAGTGAGGCTGGGGAAGGGAAAGCAGGAATTGCTGATATTTATTTTAAACCTTTTACAGCTGCTTCTCCTGAATCAGAATTCCAGATCCTTACTCAGGGGTTCTGAGTTGCCGGATCTCTCCATGTGCAATGTGCAGATTAGTCTCGAGCTCTTTGGGGTTTTCTTTTATTCATGGAAGAAGAAACAGGGAAGCAATAAAATGAATAGGGACAGCAAACAATGAGAACTGACACTATCCCCTCAATGCTAACTGCCTTTCTTACACACACACACGCACACACACACACACACACACCTCCTTGGTTTGAATCAGGCAATAAGATTGTAGACGAAGACCTCTTCTCCAGCTACATGGACACGAAGAAATGTTTGGGGTAGGCAACTTCCATCAGCACAAGGGGATAAGCAGGATGCTGATGGAATAAGTGAACATTAGGTGATGGCCAATTTGCTTGTGAATTAAAACACATTCACCAAAGAAGCCCTATTTGCTTTACTAAAATATTTTGTTTGATGTAGTGGTGATAGTAGTGGTGGTTTGCTTATTAGAGACCACTCTGTACATATATCTAATCTGCCACTCAAAACGGAAGACTTCCTGCAAATTAATCAGAGAATGCTCCCCAATGCCATTTACATTATTATTGATATTGTTATTATTATTATTATTAGAATTCATGGAAAGGAGAATTCATGAGGGGGAGAGAATGAAGACTGAGTAATGCTAAACTCTTCTACTTTCAGAAAAACCCAAAGATGAAACTGTGGATTTTCAGTCTTCTAAACTTCCTGTGACCTGTGGTGAGGCAAAAGGGATTTTATACAAGGAGAAACTGAAACGAGGTGCGTTCCTTGATCTTCTGCTCTTTGGATCCTCTAGATGAAGGACTCACTAGAAGGGAGGAAAATACCCTTGTGTGTAATTGTTCAGGAAATGGACCCTGCAGGCTAGGCTGCTGAAAAAGAAGAAGTCCTTGTTAAGAAGGAATTTTCAAACTTTTCCATGTCATGGTACACCTGGCGGCCTGACCACTCCATTCCCCCATGGAAATTGTCCATGGACCTGGTGACACTGATCACCATGTCCTTGCCACATGTAGGTGTCACCTAAATTGAAAATTCTCTCCCAGCTGCTCACCATTCATGCTGGTTTTAGGGCTCCCTTCAATCTGAGAGAGGAGGACTACAGATTCCCCTGCTCCTGCTCCCACCTCACCAGGAGTCTCTCTGGACCTGGAAAGGTGGAACACCACAATTAGGGGTTTGGAGGTTTGGGATGACCTCACAGAGGATAGAAATGAATCCTGGAATGGGCTGTCTTTATCTTACAGGAGCCTCAGAGAAGTGCATTCAGAATGAGGAGGGAGTTTGGTTCACGCCAAAAGAATTTGAAAATGAAGGACGACGGGCACATTCAAAGAACTGGAAGAGGAGTGTGCATTGCAGAGGAATGACTCTAGAACAGCTGCTGAAGGTATTATGACGACAAGGGACAGAAAGGGGGTGGGTTTAATTCCTTGAAGGATGAGTGGAATTTCAATTACAGAAGTGTGAAGAAATTCCCGTTAGGATTCAACAGCGTGATTGAGAAAGAGCTAAACGTTCATAGAAAAAAGTTGTGGGTGATAAAGTTAGGAATGCAGATTGGTGCTGATGGTGGAGAGCTGTAAGTGCAAGCAAAGAGTTTTGAGGTCTGGTAAGATTTAAGAAGCTTAGCCTGGTGGTATTGGGTAGCGTGGGCTGGAAGGAAACTAGGTGAAGATATAGACCCCTGCAACAGCTTCCCTGCATCCTTTACCCGACAAATGCTTCCTCAAGACTCTGCTCCATCTGGACCCCTTGGTGAAGCATTTCCAAGCCACTCTGCCCATGATCAGTCTCTCTTCTGCACTTCTATAGCACACTATTCTGTCTTCAGAGCAACAAACAAGAGTATTAGTCTTTGTGATCTCAGAACCCAACACAAAGCCTCTTGATAATACTCAAAAAATTATCACTGGGATGAAATTCTAAGGATCTCATCTAGAGAGAATGGGAAGGAAATGGAGAGGAAAAGGAGCGGGTAGGAAAGAAGGACCAACAGGTCTTGGGTTTGAGTAACAGAGAAAAAATGATTTTATCTTTAAGTGAAGTCCAATAGAAAAACTGATTGGAGGAGGGAGGAGCTAATTTTTCTTTTAGACCCTTTGGGTTTGAGACCCATTAGGATGTCCAGGTACAAATATTCACTAGGAAGTGGGAACTTCAATATTTACAAGAGAAGAACCTCCAGAATAACCTCATTTGTTGACCCCCTCTCTCTTTCAGAAAAGACTTTTGCATTGTCCTCCAAGAAAAAGTCTCAAGAGAGAGGTAAATAGCAGGTGAATTTCTACCACATTCTCAGTCACCATGTTGCAGACTTCCCATGTCCAAAGCCTTGCCTTCAAGTCCTCAAGTTTTGCAGCCCTGAGTCACCTTCCTATTTAGACATAGCATCTTCATGACGACTGCTGTAGCACGCTGGTACATGTACACGCCGCCACTATGTTCATAGTTAGTTTGAGATGGAGAAGCATATAACTCTTTAAAACAAAGATTAAGACAAAAACTGATGATGTACATATGTTTTAGAAAAAGACCTGAGTGTTTGGATGATTACAAACCAAAGGTGTCAGACATAGAGGGCTCTGATTTGAAAAGCAAATATGGTAATGAAATAGAAAAGAACAGGATGTGAAAGGGCGAGAAGATCATCCTTGCTTGAACATTAAGTATTCCTCAATTCAACATGTTCATTATCAGTCGCGCCAGAATGGAATAATGTATTTGAACTGAGCTGTGTCTCTGCAGAGCCTCCCTCCAGGTGAAAAGGGCAGTCATCCATTGGCTGCACCAGATGCTCCTCCTCAGCCTTCTTTACTAGTTTAGATAAGTCATCCAGACGGGAGTCCCATGCATGAGCTTCCCGTTAGATGGGAACCTCCAACAGAAGCAACGGTGCCTCTCCCATCTTACCCTGGAGGCTGGCCTGACCCTTGGCTGGATGCCAATGCCATTTATTGTATAAACCATCTTTTCCATGCTGATTTGAAATACCTTGATAGGTAGAGAGATGCTCCTTGTAACAGCAAAAAAATTAAGGAAGAATAGAAATGTCCGTCAGTATTATAAAATAAACTGATACATCTACAGAATGGTATTTTTTAAAATGCATGGATTCATAGGTATAGACCCATCCTTCAATCAATGGAAAATCTCTCAAGGGTTTTGAGGTCAGGAAAGCTTCAGAAGGGTTAAACTGGTAGTAATATGTATGGAAGGAGCCCAATTGTGTTTATGTGAATATGTAGGTCTATGACTGAAAGAATTGGTTATTCCAGGATGGAATTACAGGGGACATTTGCCTTCCATATTACAAATTTATGTACAGATGGAATTTTCATAATGATCATTTATTACTTTTGTAACCAGAAAACAAAAAACAATAAAGATATTTAAAATCCAGATTATTAATTGATGGCCCCAATACGATAGTTCCTTCTTGTTCATAACGCTATGTGTCAGCACATGATAGCTAGGGGCACACTTGACCCCACCTTTCAGTCCCACCCATCAGGAGCCACATTGGCATAATGAGAATGAGGTTTAGTCTGACTACAAATGGCCTAATGCAGGCCTTTCCCGCAGCCACAGTATCCAATATGTCACTGTTGCTCTGCGGTACACCCAGTCTCCGTTGGTGTCCAGCTCTGTATATGTGTACCATCAAGAGACCTGATGCTGATACTCCAAACGTGTTTCGTGGCTGCCCTGCGGGGTGCTGCTCCCATGACCCAAGGCCAAATGGGCAGCTGGTGCAGAGAATCCCAGGCTCAGGGCCTGTGAAAGCCTCCATCTCCAGGAGGGCCCAGTATGCAGCCAGCAGTTGCTGTTCTAATGGTGTATAGTGTGGGACTGAGGAGGACAGTTTTTGCTTTTTGGGTTTTTTTCAATTTTTTTGGACAGATTCTAGAACCTTTCGTTAGATGGGTTCCTATTCAAAGTGGACCAATTTGCAAGTAACAGCATAAATGGGCATAAGTAAAACCTGTAAATGAGGAGTATGTCACCTCCAGAACTCAAAAGGCCTAAAAGATGTTGGGCAGTTGTTGCGGGTAGTGAGAGCGTCAGTAATTGTTTCTTGACAGTGTTAGGCACGGAGCAGCCCTCAATGGATCAAATGAGGCCCAGAAATTTGCAGAGCTGGTAGGGCCTTGTTCTGTATGTGGGGGTGATGGCCCATTCCTTTTTGTAATTGGGTCTTCTGAATGAGTATGTCAAATAAGAAGGATGTCATTAGTGTGGTGTCATCCTTGTGCTCTTGGGGAAAGTCAGATGCAGCTAAGACCACGCCTGCAGAGATTGTGTGTGATGGCAGAGCTGTTGAGATACCCCACGGTAGCCAGGTAAAAGTGTGTTGTATCCCTGCACAGGTGAAGGAAGCTACAGCTGAGATGCTGTTGAAATGGGCACTGACCAGAATATATTAGCCAAATCTGTGACGTCAACGTATTTACCGGTTGCTAAGTGGACGGCATCAGTAATTTCAGTAATATTTGGTATAGGGACCCTAATGCATGGGGTTCCTTTGTGAATAGCTGTATCTCACTAAATTTAAACAAAGTACACTCTATACTCTTAGGGAAATTACCAAACGTAAAATAGAGAACAAACAGGTATAACTCACCTTCACCATAGAAACTGTTCCCTTACCTAAATTCCACATGGTTATAACACCCATTGCCCTAAAATATCCCGTAGTGGGCATAGATGTTCTGGCCCAATGTATAATAAATGAAAACAAAATTAAATTTTTGACACTTACAATCAGCTTTATGAAAAGGAACCCATGGACCTTCCCCTCTGTTAAAATAGTTAATAGAGTCCAGTATAAATTAAAACAGGGCCTTCAAGGATTGGAACTCATTATACAAGCTCTATTTAGAGCAGGAGTGACTACCTCTACTGTTTCTCCACTTAATCACCTAATTTGGCCTGTTCTTAAACTTGGAAAGAAGCAATGGTGCCTCATGGTGGATTACTGCAACCTCAGAGCTGCGGCCCAGCAGGCAGCAACACGACTCAAGGCTGAGCCAGCAGGTGGCACAGCCAGTTAGCAAACCAAAGCAAGAGAAAAAAGACGCCTGGTGGTGGTGGCCCCCTTGACTCTCTGCTTGCTGAACCCATTGTCTTGTGGTTGCCCACAGAGAAGTGGGATCAGCCCTCCACCAAAAATTGGGTTCAGATATCAAAACTGATGATGCAACATGTGCGCCAAGAGAGTATGAAAAGATTATTACTCACATACTAAGGCTTTCTGAGGAGAGCAGGGCAGGCACCCAAGCTGGTCTGAAATGGCTTGAGCAGAGAGGGGGAGTAGCCTAAAGTTTTATTATGGTTAGGGGTGGGGCCAAGGCGAGAATTCCCTTGCTGGGTCGGGGCCTGTCTGGTTTGAACTTCTCACTGGGGCAGAAGGAAGGAGCACATGAGCTTATCCAGATGTGGCAAGAGGGGAAGAGGAAGGGATGGATGGGGCTCGAGGTTATCAGCACTCAAACATAAACAGAGTCAGACTGTTTATTACAGAACGTGATTGTGGAGTTGTGTGTTCTTTCTCCATCATTTCAAGTGGTATGTCCTTTCTCTTTCATTTCTCTATCATATCATGTGTGTTGGAAACTGTTCCACTCTAGAGCATGGGGGTGGGGGCTCAGGACTCTAGACCCAACCAGGGTCTCAGCCAGGAGGAGTGGGTTAGTCTGGGCTACCTGGGGCACTGGCCTCTGTACCCTGGACAAGAGCAGGCCGAGTGTCCAGTCAGAGGGCAAGAATGGCCAGAGACTGTCAACCCCAGGGACAGAGCAGGGCAGTTTGGCAAGTACAGGGTGGAAAGGCGAGTTCAGGATGGGAAAGCCAGAGAGATCCCCTGAACTTCGGAGTGGAAGAACCCTCCTTATGAAGCCCTGGGGCCCAGGAAGCCTCCCCAGGTGCGACAGAGATGAACACCATCCCCAAATCAAGGGGAATTTTTAGTCTGGCTGAGTGGCTAGTTTTGAGACTGTACAAAATATTTCCATCCCTTATGCCATCACCCATCCCTTATGTCTCATGCTTGTGTTATGAACAGTGGAGGGTAGTGCTGGGGTTTGTCTCCTTAGATGCAACTGATTCTCAGCCCCTTCGATCCTTTCTCCAGCTCCTGATGGTCTGTTTCCCTCCTTTTCACCACCCACCGTCCATCTGGAGGGGTAGTGCTGCAGACGAGCACAGGCAGAAGGACGCCTCTTCCTGACTCCCGCCGTTAGTGCAGAGAGAACGCTCCCTTTTGGGTGCGGAGCCCCACCCTCTCCATCTGGTGGGGCCCGAAGTGGAACCACGTGCTCCCGCCTGTGGGTCTTTATCCAGCAGTAAAGATTGTGTCCCTCACATAAATCGTTTGTGGAATTTACTGGATCACATTTTAAGGCCACAAGAAAGACCCATTTGGTTTCTTGGGCGCATAAAATGACCCAGTCACACAGCAAGCAGCCCTCTGTCTTTGTGAATCTGTCTTCCTGTTTGTCAGCCATAACATCAGGGACTGTTCTCTGAGTCTGCCCACATGCTCGCCTGGGATGGTGCGCAGCGGATGGAACAGCTTTGAACCCAGGCACAGGCAGCCTGGGTGCCAGTCTGGCTCAGGTACTAAGTTGCTTTGACTGCAGAAAAAAAGCATTTCATCTTTCCAGGCCTATAAAATGAGAGAGTCACGTAAAGCCAGGTTTTCTCAAATTTCATGTATTTACAAACCACCTGGGATCCTATCAAAATGCAAATTTCCACTCAGTTGGTCTGTGTTTCTAATCAGCTCCCAGATGATGCTGATGCCGCTGGTCCTCGGGCCACACTTTGTGCAGAAAGGGCTTCAATACCTTCCAGTCCCTTCGGGCGCTGGCTATCTGTGGTTCAGGTCAAGGCTTGACGATTCTTGCCACTTACTCTTCCACAATTGAAAGGGCAGGCTCGTCCTCCATCAGCATTCTCCGTGTCCCAGAGCCCCGCAGTGTCAGCGTCCGGTGGGTCTCGCTGATCCTAGCAATGCCCACATTATCTCCCCTTCTAGTGGGAAAACTCCAAGGAATGTGAGGTGTGCTGTAGAGGGGGACCACTGCTCTGCTGTGACACTTGTCCGAGAGCCTTTCATGAGGACTGTCACATCCCGCCTGCGGAGGCTGAGAGGTTAGTGAGACACAGCCCGGCCTCGTGTGCACACTCAGTCCAGGCTCTGCCTCTGGTTGCTCATCTCTGGAAGGAAGAGCAGGACCCGTGAGCATCGTGGGTGCGGGTGTGACCCAGAGCAGCCTACGCAGTGGCAGCCTATGCTCCCTCTGGTATCAGTGATAGCCGTGGGTCTCTGAGTCTGCAACTGGGCCATCTGGACCACACTGCCACTGTCCCAGGGAGGTGTCCTTTCCTAGGTTTGCAGACTACTGTCCAAGGGGGGTTGGGGACAGGAAACACCAGTTGTGTGTGTTTGTGCTTATTCAAGAAAGGCAGGAAGCATGGCCTGCTTCTTGCATTTCACCACAGTCTCAAAGGGCTGATGGAGACCTGGGACCCCTCCCCCCAGGGATTAAGGCCCTGCTTCCAACAGTCGGGCATGGTGGGTACGGCTCCTTGTGTTCCCAGAAGCTCAGACGGGGAAAGGAGAACCCACTTACTCACCCTGACACCACCCTCCACCCCCTGATCCCCTGCTACTCCCTCAATGGGCAGAGGGTCATCAGTTCAGACCTCACATGGGGGGCTTGGAGACTCTGGCAGGTATCCCTTCATCCTCCAGCTGTGTCCGTCGGCCATTCCTCAAAGGAGGACAGTGGCAGCTGTAGGAATGGTGGCTGTTTCCAGGGGCCTTGCCCTTGCTCACTTATGCCCAACCTCTCAGGAGCCTGTGGAGTTGCACCTTCTGCAGGATGAAGGAGTCTTCAGGAAGCCAGCACTGTCACAGGGAATCTGAGGTCCTGGCAGGGCAGATGCAGCCTGAGGAGCAGTTGGTGAGTTGGGTGTGAACCCCAAGCCTTCTCCTTTCCCCTCACATGTGAGAATCAAACAGGGAACCTTTGGTGTCTTCAGAGGATGGTGATTCAGTGTCCAACATCGAGTCCAAACAGAATTCAACCCACTCCATAGCTCTTTGGCAAACGCAGTTGGAAGGCTGGCTGTGTTTGGCTGCTCCTGTTTGTGCATGTCTGGGCGCAGGCCTGGCTTCACTTTCTCCAAGCTGCATTTCACTTTAAAGTCCTATTCACATTTTACAGAAATGTGAGTTCCTCCTCTTGAAGGCCTACTGTCATCCACAAAGCTCCTTTTTTGCAGAGACTCCACATAACGTAAGTCATATTTGATGATTCTCATCCTCCGGGCATCTCTCTTGTGTAAAACTCATTCTAGAAATTTGGAGTATGGGTCCTGTGGGTGCTACTGTCTACAGAGAGCAGAAGGTTTAGCTGCAGACTCTGGAGTGGGACCACCTGGTTCAAACTCCACCCCACCACATGCTAGCTCTGGGACACTGGGCGAGTTGCTTCACCTCCCATAGGTCTCAGTTTCACCTTCTCTTAGGTGCGAATGTCTTCTGTACAGATAGCACAGGGTTTAGAGCACAGATTCAGAAGCCAAACTGTGGATTCTAGTCCCAGCTCTACCACTTTTTAGCTGTGAAATCTTGGGTAGGTTGCTTAACCTCTCCATCTATAAAATGAGAATAATTATAGTCCCTATCTCATAGGGTTGTTGTGGAGATTATATGTTAACATAGGGGCAGTGCTTAGAATAAAGCCCAGCATATAGATGTCAAGTGTTATTATCATTATTACCGTGGAAATAAAGGCTTGTATTGTATTTCAGTTGGATCCATTCCAGTCGTCATGGCTGCTAACATCACCCCGTTGGTGTCTTTGTCCCTAGATTCGAGCTTATGGTGAGCCCTTTAAGGAAGCCATGTGGTTGGACCTGGTTAAGGAAAGGCTGACTGAGAAAGTGTACACAGCGGCATGGTTTGTACGGGACATGCGCCTGATCTTTCGCAACCATAAAACATTTTACAAGGTAAAGGGCATTTCCTGCTCCCTTTTCACGTCCTTTCTACTTTCCCCTAATTTCTGGGACAGCAGAACTTTGCAAGAATTGTACCCCGTCTCTTCCTGGAGAGGCAGGGAAAAGAGACAAGGATTACAGAAGAAAACTGCCTCTGCATTCCAGGGGCGGAGAGGAGGATGTCAGAAAGAACAACAAGCAGGACAGGAAGGATCCTTGTAAATGGTGCCTGAAAAAAAATCCATCCTCAGTTCCCAGACAGGTGGCTCTTCCCACTGAGATCAGTCAATTTCGTCCTGCCTCCTTGTTCCAACTGGAAGGAAGGGCAGTTCCTGCTTCTATTGTTCTTCATGCCTCAGAAATACAGAAATAAATGAATTCATTAAACACAATGAAATAAATTAAACTTCCAGGATGCTCAAGCTTGGATTTTGTCACATCTAAGTTTCCCAGTGGACTCAAACACACGGAATTGCCCTCAGGTGGTGCTGGCCTCATCCTTCATTAGTAGAGAGAGACAACTAGTTGAGCTATCTTGCAATCCAAGATATTCTTAACTTTTATTTCTTAAGTTTATCCTGATTTGCACTCTTACTTGTACAGATATTTCTTGGGAAGTATCTAAGGATGATTTTCATCACCACCCAGCCTCCCTCCCTACCTCCATGCCACATGTTGGCATGTTCATGAGCCACAAATTTTAAGCTGAGGTCCATGCGTGGAGTTGTAGAGAGAAAGAGTCTACTCAAGTTGCCCCTCAATGGCACAGTCTTAGCCTTGCAGAACAGGAAGGTCATCCTTCCTTCAAAGAGTAGGCTTTCAAGAAGCGCTTTTTCTTGACCTATTTTGTACCAAGCTCAGGCTTTGCAGTGATTAAAATCAGCTCTTCAGTCAGGAACACCTGTCAGGTCCAAGTTAACAACCAGGCAGAGTCTCATCCTTTTCAATACTGTAGCAGGAGCATCTCCCAGCCATCCTGCCTGAGTGCTGGGGAAGCACAGCATTTCGGGAAAGGGAGGGCGGGGCTCCCAAAACATATCAGTGATTTGATGGTCCTAATCCTTTGTCCTTAGACATGGGTTTGTTTGCTTTTTTCTCTTCCAGGCTTCCAACTTTGGTCAGGTAGGACTGGATTTAGAGGCAGAATTTGAAAAGGATCTCAAAGAGGTGCTTATTTTTCGTGAAGCCAATGAGAATGGTTTCCAGGCTTCTCCTTGACCCTGTTCTGGAAGGACTGAGGATCCGCGACTTCAGGATCCAGATGATGTGACCTGGCCATCCTTAGGCTGCCAATGAGTCAGGGATGTTATTGGCTGCCCTCTTGACTCAAACCCAGGCCCTTCACAGCATCATCACAGCTTCTACCTCCTTTTATTGTTTCTTTTTACATCTAAAAAATTATATCTCACATCTAAAAAAAAACTGAATACTTCCTTCATACCATTGACTATCCCATCGTAGTTCACATTCTCCCCATTTCTCATAAATCTTTCTTTTTGGGGGGGTGGATTGTGGATAATTTTATTTTCTGCTTATGATGTTTTACATTTAAAAATTCTTACAAAATATGTATATATTGAAAAGCAAAAAAGTAATACTAAAAATATATATAAAACATTGCAAGTGCAAATAGAAATAACATTTAGAACATTCATATTCGTGATTTCATAAATCTTTTTACAGTTGATTTGTTTGAATCGGGATCAAAACAAGTCCAACACACTGCATTTGGCTAATCTGTGTCTTAAATCTCTTTTAATCTGTATAAGTTTCCCCCCACTCCTGCATTTTTTTCCTTGCTGTCTATTCATTGGAGAACCTGGGGCCTTTGTCCTATGAAAGTTTTCATATTCTGGACTTTTCTGCATCCCCTTAGTGCCATGTTTCTCTCTCTGGCATTTTTTGTAAAGATCCAGTTTTATGGGGGCGGGGTTGTTTTGGCTTGGTTTTTTGGCAAACAGATTTCCCAGATGGGGCTGTACATTTCTTTGTGATGTTAAGATCAGCCAGCAGGTTCAGGTGTTATCAGCCTGACCCATCTATTATACATCATCCTTTCACCTAATGATCTTAGCAGCCATTGCTGCTCATTGCCTAAATCCCTTATTTTATTAGGGGTTACAAAATGATATTCAGATTCTTTTATGCCTTTTATACTTATTAGTCAGAATTCTTCTGCAAAGAGCTTCCCTTCAACAATATTTGGTTATCTTGAAATACAATTTGTACAGGAAAGGCAAGATAAATGCTGGATTCTTTATTTAACAGTGTTCAAATAATGAGTTGGTTCCCTAATAGCCTCTGAAAGTGACCAGGGAGGTTTTATTTATTTTTTTCTCTAAAATATCTTGAACTCATGGATTTAAATGTATTTAATATGCTTCACACCATTGTAGTTAATATCTTTATTGCTGCTCAAATTGCCCATCTTCAGTGAGTGAGCATCTCTTGAAGTTTGCTCCTGAATTGTTTTGAAATGACCCCAGTCCTCTTTGGTAGTGTTTTAGCTATTTATTGCTGTGTAACAAATGACCCCAATATTTAGTGGCTTAAAAGAATGGCCATTTTATTGCTCACTATTCTGTGGGTCAGGAATTCAGGCAGTGCTCGGTGAGGGCACCTTTTCTTTGCTCTGCATGGTACTGACTAAGCCCATTCGTGCTGGTACCATGTCATTTCTGCCACACCACTATCGGTCCAAGGATCAGATTCAAAAGGAGGGAAAATAGATTGTACCTCTTGATGGGATGAGTGGCAAATTGTTATTTCAAAGGACAATGTTGCTCGGGAAGAAATGTTGCCACCGTCTTCAGAAATACCCTACCGTAGTCCACCCTCTGGCCACAACAATTCACGTCCTTGGCACATGCAAAGGACACTCACCCCCTACCCAAGAAGCCTCACTCATTGCAGCATTGGAGCAAAGCCCAGGACCTCATAGTCTAAATCAGGTTCAGATCAATAAGTTTCCTTGGGTGTGGTTCCTTGGGTGCAGCTTCTCAGGTGCATCTGCTCTAGAACCAGAGGTTTGTGAGCTGAAAGACAAGTTATGTTTCCCCCATTCTCAACATTCAGTGATGGCACAGGGACTAAGTAACCACTGTAGACACTTGCACTCAAACAGGGGAAAATGGGAAGCACATAGCAGTCGTGGTCCACAGCAACTCTGAAATCCAGCCAGGCGCATGTTACCAATTCCCCCAATCCCAGAACAAAGCACGTTCTTTGATAAAGGTGATGTACATATGATTTATAAATATTATATACCTTTAATTCCCATCCAACTCCACAGGCTTCTTCCTTGTCTTCCTCCAGTCAATATTTGTGTCTCTTTTCTCTCACAGTATATTTACTCATTTGCTCAACTCTAAACTACAACAAAATTGTTTCAGAATTTCTATACTCATACCACTTTGTAATATATAATAAATTGAATTCTAAATTTGTGTGCAATTTATTCTTGGTTCTGTTATATATTTAATATACCAATGCAGACAGTATTTTTCAGGATTTTGCATTCTATTTATAAATGAGATTGGTCTGCAAGTTTTTGTATACTACCATAGGCAGATTTAGGGCTATCCTAGCTTGGTAAAATAACTCATAAAAATGTCTACCTTTTTATATATCCTGGAATATTTTATAGTGTTTTAAATTAACCAGCTCGTAAAATTATATAGCCTAGAGTTCTTTGAAGAGGTAATATTGACCATATTCTCTCCTTTTTCATGGTGATGAGACTATTTAGATAGTCTATTGCTTTTTTTTATTGAGGTAACAGTGGTTTATAATATTATATAAATTTCAGGTGTACATCATTATATTTCTGTGTAGACTACGTCGTGTTCACCACCCAAAGACTAATTACCATCCATCACTGTACACATGCGCCCTGTCACCTCTTTTGCCCTCCTCCCTCCCCTTTCCCCTCTGGTAGCCACCAGTCTAACCTTGGTATCTATGTGTTAGTTTGTTGTTGTTGTTTTTATCTTCTACTTATGAGTGATATCATACAGTATTTGACTTTCTCCATCTGACTTTTTTCACTTAGCATAATACCCTCAAGTTCCATCCATGATGTCACAAATGTCAAGACTTCATCTTTTTTTATAGCTGAGTAGTATTCCATTGTGTATATATACCACATCTTCTTTATCCATTCATCCCTTGATGGGTGCTTAGGTTGTTTCCAAGTCTTGGCTATTGTGAATAATGTTGCAATGAACATAGAGGTACACATATCTTTACGCATTCGTGTTTCATGTTTTTTGGATAAATACCCAGCAGTGGAATAGCTGGATCATATGGTACTTCTAGTCTTAATTTTTTGAGGAATTTCCATGCTGTTTTCCATAGTGGCTGCACCAGTTTACATTCCCACCAGCAGTGTATGAGAGTTCCCTTTTCTCCACATCCTCTCTAACACATGTTATTTCTTGTTGTTAGTTATAGCCATTCTGATGGGCGTGAGGTGATATCTCATTGTTGTTTTGATTTGCATTTCCCTAATAATTAGTGATGTTGAACATCTTTTCATGTGCCTGTTGGCCATCTGTATATCTTCTTTGGAGAAATGTCTCTTCAGATCTTTTGCCCATTTATTAATTGAGTTGTTTGTTTCTTTATTGTTGAGCTGTATGAGTTCTTTATCTATTTTGGATATTAACCCCTTATCAGATATATGGTTTGCAAATATCTTCTTCCAGTTGTGAGGTTGTCTTTTAGTTTTGTTCATGGTTTCCTTTCCTGTGCAGAAGATTTTGAGATTGATGCAGTCCCATTTGTTTATTTTTTCTTTTGTTTCCCTTGCCTGGTCAGACATGGTACTTGAAAATATGCTGCGAAGACCAATGTCGAGGCGCCTACTGCCTATATTTTCTTCTAGGACTTTTATGGTTTCAAGCCTTACATTCAAGTCTTTACTCCATTTTGAGTTAATTTTTGTGTATGGTATAAGATAATGGTCTACTTTCATTCTTTTGCATGTGGCTGTACAGTTTTCCCAACACCAATTATTGAAGAGACTTTCCTTTCTCCATTGTATGTTCTTGGCTCCCTTGTCAAAAAATTAGCTGTCCGTAGATGTGTGGGTTTATTTCTGGGCTCTCAATTCTGTTCCATTGATCTGTGTGTCTGTTTTTGTGCTAGTACCATACTGTTTTGCTTACTATAGCTTTGTAGTATATTTTGAAATCAGGGAGTGTGATACCTCCAGTTTTGTTCTTTTTTTTCAAGATTCCTTTGGGTATTCAGGGTCTTTGGTTGTTCCATGTAAATTTTAGGATTCTTTGTTCTATTTCTGTGAAAAATGTCATTGGAACTTTGATAGAGATTGCATTGAATCTGTAGATTGCTTTAGGAAGTATGGACATTTTAACTGTTAAGTCTTCCAGTCCAAGAGCATGCAATATCTTTCCATTTCTTTGTATCTTCTTCAATTTCTTTCAACAACGTTTTATAGTTTTCAGTGTACCATTCTTTCACCTCTTTGGTTACATTTATTCCTAGGTATTTTATTCTTTTTGTTGCAATTGTAAATCGGATTGTATTCTTAATTTCTCTTTCTGCTACTTCATTGTTAGTGTATAGAAATGATTTTTGTATGTTGATTTTGTATCCTGCAACTTTACTGTATATGTTTTTTATTTCTAAAAGTTTTTTCGTGGATTCTTTAGGGTTTTCTCTATATAAAATTGTTATCTGCAAATAGTCACAGTTTTACTTTTTCCCTTATAATTTGGATCCCTTTTATTTCTTTTTCTTACCTGACTGATCTGGCTAGGACTTCCAATACTATGTTAAATAAGAGTGGAGAAAGTGGACATCCTTGTTGGTTCTGGTTCTTAAAGGGATAGATTTCAGTTTTTCTCCATTGAGTATGATATTAACGTGGGTTTGTCATATACGGCCTTTATTATGCTGAGGTACTTTCCCTCTATATTCAGAGTTTTTATCATAAATGGATGGTGTATCTTGTCGAATGCTTTCTCTGCTCTGTTGAGATGATCATGTGATTTTTATTCTCCATTTTGTTAATGTGTTATATCGCACTGATTGATTTGCAGATGTTGAACCATCCAATAGTGATTAGACTATTTAGATATTCTATTGCTCTGTGAATCAATTCCGCTTTTATATTTTTCTAAGAAGTCGTCCGTTGCGTTTGTTGTTTATAGTTGGCCTGATTTCTGTCCTATTATTTTATTCTTTCTCTTTTGAAAACTTTCATGTTGTTTTTGTCTACATTGTCTTTGTTTTCACCTTCTATTCTGGAAGGCATTCTAACAGTTTTTAATTCTTCTAATATTTATCTGCAAGTTTTCCAAATGTATTTTTAACTTATTTTTTGAATGTCAGAGCCAAAAATAAAATATCTTTAATGTGCTACATATTTAAGTCAAG